GACGTTACTGGGCCCACTCGAGCAAATCGATGATCAACGGGAGGGCCTTTACCTTTTATATTTGGCTTACCTGCTTTTTTAGCTATGTTTATGTTTTAATCTATTCAAGTATTTTAAACTACTTAATTTAAGACTATACTTTCTCTAACTTCCTAACAATTAGACAATACAGCAATGACTTGTTATTCTACTTTCCAAAATGCTAGCTAGTGGAGCCGAAGCCCTAGTACTGTGGCTACAGTGCTTGCTTTGCACACGGCCGACCTGGGTTCAATCGCTGGCATCCCATATGGTCCCCCAAGCACTACCAGGAGTAATTCCTTAGTGCAGAGCCAGGATTAATTCTTGAGCATCACTGGGTGTGACCCAAGATGCAAAAAAAAAAATGCTAACTAGTATTATACCAGCTAAACAGCAGCAACAAAAAAGACTAAGGAAGTTAAGTTAAAGCACATTCCTACTTTGATCCCCTAGAAATTTTTTTATAGTCATCAAGAATTTGCTTCTATCAATCTTTTTCAAGAAAACTAATGAGGATCTATATAAATCTTAGTCCCAAACCTGAAAAAATTTTTTAAAAAAATGAAGTTCAGAAAGGGAGGGAAGAAACAAGGGGAAGGGGTAATAGAAATAAGAAAAATGGCAGGAAAAAAGGAAAGAATATTTCAACTTAATCCCACCAGATTTCCCTAAAAAGTAAAGGACTGGAAAAGTGATAAATAAGATAACTGCTACTAAAGCTTCACTGCCTGTTTCGTTATGCCTAAGAGTTCATTTTAACCAGAAGGAAATAACTATTAAAAAGCAGTTCTAAGAAGTCAATAGGTCAATAATTAATAGAGGTTGTATTTTTTTAATGAAAAGTCTATACTCCAGATCAAAGCACATGGAAATATTCCACTGATCAGTTTTTCCAGGGAAAGCAGGAAACACACACAGAAAAAAAAGGCATCAACTGTTCATTGAGCATTAAAATGAACGATAAATGAAGCAAAAAGGGAATAGAATATAGCATCAGCAAGGCCACATTCAGTTTCCCTGGAGAAGTGCAGAGCACCCTTCAGAGTGCCCCAGCAACAGGTGGTTTGCAGCTGTGAGGACGGTGCTTGTCTCTTTAGATGTAAGCTTTCATTGCTTTCTACGTGACTGTTCCTCCTTTACTTTTGTTATCTCGGTGTGTAAAGCTGAAAGAAAGCCTCTGGTTCTCATCTGAGGCGAAGTTTCCACAATCTCATTTATCACACTCACACAGAGGCCTCCAAACCTGTCTTCAGTACTGGATGAATAAGTCAAAATGGTATTATTTAGTCTTGAATATTTTCGTGACAGTGAGGATTTTACTAAGGAATTTAATTACATATGGAATTTGGTGTTTGTTTGAAATATTACCTGACCTGAATTTGAACTACCAAAAGTCCTTTACAAATAAGGCACTAGATGACAGAAATTAAAAATACTTTTTACTTATTTTTATTATGATAACATTGGTTTACAGAGTATAAATATTTCTATGTTTTAGGTATGCAGGATTACTATACCATATTCATCACCAAATTACCAATATTCCTCCACCAAAGTTCATTTGACCTCTACCTTTTAAGCCCACTCGTGCTCCCATAGCTGCCTCACTTTTATGGTCAAAGAAAACAATATCCTTGTTTCCTGTCTGTCAAAAAAAAAACAACACAAAAACACAAAGAAGAAGAAAGTGATATTTGCTTTAAAAGCATTGTCACAAAGGCACTTTACTTTATAGTAGGACAGGATGTTCATGCTGTGATTCATCCTGTCCTATTTATAAACTTTAAAACAGTGTTCATATGTTTAGGCACTAGGACACCTTATTGGAATTATGGATGGAAACTGAAAATAGTCCTCATGTTACTTTGATTAATTGACTCCAAAATTTATAACCAGAGGGGAAGATAATAATCAGGTCCTGTTTATCTCAAGTCTGACCTGATCTAAGTGTGTAAGTCTACAGAGAAAGTATTTTTTTATGTATCTGAAGACATAGACTTTCTGAGCATGTTTTCCCCTGCTGGAATGTGGGACTGAGATAAAAGACAAGCCTTAGAAGTTTAATTATCCTGGATATATAGCACTGCAGGGAGATTTACCTCCCCAGAGTTATGTGGTTACATTTTCAGAGGGTAGGAGTGAGGTGAGGGTGAGAGTGGGGCAAGTGAGATGGGACCCAGCTCTTAGGATTGTAAAGATGAAGATACTAATCTTAGCTCCCCTCCCCACCACCACCCCTAAAAAATATGTACATATATACTTTGCAAAAGATCAGAATGCAAAGTTGAATATGTTTGCACTGAACATTTATCTCCCTCAGAGGAGAAAGAGGAATAGCTATTCCATCAATATAGCCATCCAGATTCATATTTTGCGGGTTCCTTATCTACAGTATATACCACGTACAGAATAACATCTGGTTTTCATTGTTTCACTGTGGAAAGAGGAAATTAAGGTAAAGGGAGCCAGCATGATAATTGTCTGTATTTAATAACCTCTTCTGCTCCAGAAACCTTGTGTTTGTATTTAGATAATATTAATAAGTAAAGATATTAACATTTTTAAATCTCATACATATGTTAAATTGTAATTTGCACCTCCTTTGTGCAAACATATCTTAATCTAGTTCAGTCATCTAGGTGCCCAAGAATCTGTATTTGAACAGCTCTCCCAAAAGATTCTTCCAGACTCGGTTTACAACCCAAAAATGAAAAGCTCACTTAGGCAAAACAGATCTACCTCCATTACCAAGCTTTCTGATTTTCAGTCATTGTACTCCTCCCATATTTTTATAGTTTGTTGGAAGATATAAGGACTTAATTTTTTTTGGTTTAAACTTTGGGATAAAATTGAGGATTGGCACATCTCTGGTTAGTTTGTATTATACTTGTGCACTCTTTTGTAATGTTATCTATAAAATGCTCTGAAAAAAATCATTCTTTTTAAATTTAATTTAATTTTCTTTGTTTTTGTTTTTGGGTCACACCTGGCAATTCTCAGGGGCTACTCCTGGCTCTTCACTCAAAAATTACTCCTGGGGGTGTTTGGGGGACCATATGTGATGCCGGGGATCGAACCTGGTCAGGCGCCTGCAAGGCAAATGCCCTCCCCGCTGGACTATCGCTCTGGTTCCTTGAAAATAATTCTTAGAAACTAATCTTAAAAATGAATCAGAAAAAAAATGAATCAGACTTCTAGAATCTTAAGTGTCGCCAACAAATTTATTAACCAGCCTCTTGATCACAGTATTACACCAAAACTTTACTGATTTCCACATTCTCTGTGAACCATTATTTTAATCCCTTATACTTGTGTATTGCATCAGAATCTACAAGATACCTTTACACTGTTGTCCCACTTGAATTTTAGAATAGTGTTTGAAATAGGAACTGTTAGAACACATACTGTTTATATGAATGTTTGCTATTTTCTCTTTCAATATATTTGAAATGAAATGTGAAAAGACTGATGTTGGTTATATGTATGGGACTTAAGTTGTCTAGCTACAGTGTTTGGGCATTTTAATTGAAAGGGAATGCTTTTGTGAGGACATCAAGATTTGTGAAGGAATAAGAATTGCTGGGTGAGGATGTAGCTGAGCAGTAGGGTGAGCACAGGCATCTCATGGTAAGGTCTTGCGTTCTGTCACCCCTGGCATTGCCAAAAAAAATTACAAAAAAATAAACTCATCTTTTATATCAGGCACTTACAAGGGACTTAGAGTAGTAATATAGTGGGTAGGGTTTTTACATTGCATGTGTCTGACTCAGGTGTGATCCCAGCACCCGATATAGTCCCCCAAACCCACCAGATCCATGAGCACAGAGCCAAGAGTAATGCCTAAGCATATTAGGTGTGGTCCCCAGAACAAATAATAAATAAATAAAATTTTAATATAACAGAGACTGCATATCATATCATTTGTACATGTTGAGGATAATCTTTTCCAGTTGCACAGAAGTTACATCCATTCCTATGTCAGAGTTGATACTTTGCTATTAAACAAAAGATAAATACAGATGTGCAATGTCTTAAGGGAAAAACAAACTTTTCAAACTGTTTCTTAAATGCCTTTGAATCCTTTTAATGTTTAGTTGTCAGCATAGAGATTTATACTTTTTACAGTCCTCAAAGTACTTGCATACATATTATTTTATTTAATAACCCTGACTAAGTCCACACTATATCTATTTTTTTGAAATGAGAAAAAGTAAAGGCTGAGATACGGTGCAAGATCATATTTTCAAGGGATAATAGATGTTAGACCTACAAGAAAGATATTCAATCTTACATATATGTGTTTCTCCTTTGAAAAGGTACTATGATGATTAAACTGTGAAGTACATATTCTGCTTAAAGTATCTTGAGCTTGAAATATCCCTATAACCAAATATTTTATTTCCTAATGTCAGGCCCCTAGGAGCAGAAGTTTCAGAGTAATTAAATTTCAGAGAATTGTTATGAACTAACAACAGGAGCTATGATATGTGACCCAAGTAAAGGGGAGTCCTATGATGGTTAACCTAATAACAGTTTGTGAAAAACCATTTCCTGTGTTGAGTTTTTAGGTTCATCACATAAAAATTCACCACGGCAGGACAGAAAAAGAAGGTGAAGGAGTTAAAGCACTTGCCTTGCAATCAGCTAACCAGAGTTTGATCACCAGCATCAAATATGAATTCTCCCTATACCCTCCCACACCCACACACCAGCACAGGAGTGATTTCTGAACTCAAAGGGGTTATCCATGTATAACACTGGCTATGACCAAAACAAATAAACTAAAATCACTCTGGCAGTAACAATGCAGTGTTGAATGTTACAGAATTCACTTAAACACAATTTTTTTTCTATCTGTTGTATAGGACAATGTTTAAACTCTGACTTCAAAATGTGTTCAGAGTCCTTACAGAATTTAGTTTGCTAAGTGTTATATGTGTCTTTTCTTTGTCTAATATACTCATTCTTTCCTTAAACAGGATTTTCCGAGGCAGGCTGGAGCACTGGAAACCGAAGCCCTCTTCCCCAACCCCGGCCTCCACTCGCTCACCTTGCATGCCTTTCTCCTGGTTTAATGAAAGCCGAAAAGGATCCTATTCTTTAAAGAATCTGCCTTCACCCACGAGTCCCCTTCAGCCTTCTCCTGAGACTCTAATTTCAGATAAAAAGGGGTCCAAGGTAGAAAACACATGGATTAAAAAAGCAAACAAGAAAATCCCAAATCTTTTCTTCTCTTCAATCTTTGGAAAGCATTCTCAACTTGTGTGTATACTCTGGATCCAAGAAACCAATTTGATAACACTGCAATAAACAATGCATGGTATTTCTTGCGTGGGATAAAAGGAAACCTCATTTAACCAGCACCTTCTTTAATACTGTTCTATTCTAGATTGTATGTTACTCTGGTTTGCCTGTCTTTTCATATATTGCTGTTTAATCTCACTTTGAGAGTTAAGCCATGCTGGGAAGGATACATTTAAATTAGAACAATATGATCAATCTGTTTACCAAGTATTCCTCTTTAAATTATGTTACAAAGCTATTTTTCTATGCTCATCAAGATTTACTTGAAGACAAATTTGATACTAAACATGTGTTCAATACATCTTAAGTGAAACCCTTTAAGACAAACGAATGCTAGCATAGCACCCTTATTTATTTCTTCTTTTAAATAAAACTTCCATGTTAAAAAAAATGTAAAATTCTATCCCCAAAATTCTTTAACTTGAGCATAATTAGGAACAATTTGCATGGGAATTACTTATTTTTAATGCATCATAGTTATTTCCAGCATGACAATGCAAATCTTACCTAACTTTGTATTGAAACATTCAGTGGCTAACTTTCACATGTCATTTGGGCTCCTTTTATCTGTGTTCACTTTTCCTTTTCAAACAGAAAGGTATGATTAATGTTATGTGAATTTAATTATTTCCTTGAGGTCAACAACTCACAGGGTTTTGATTTGGTTTTACATTGTGTTTCCAGTGATGATGTTAAATGGCAGTGTGCTGTGTAAAATGCCTTCTGCTTAAATGTTTCTACCAACCCAACTCTGACTCCGTCTCCTTTTCTGAAGTTTTAGCAAACTTTGGAATTTGTTTGGTACTAAATTTTCCAGTCTCTTGCCTAGTACTTATTTTGACAACTGACTAAATTAAACTCAATTCACAGGAACCTTCTGGAAAACTAACCATCCAGTTCCTAGTGAAGTGGAATATGAAACAAGATGGTGTTGGTCAAGTGCTTAGAGTTCTTGGGAAGCCTGTCAGTCCAGAAATACTAGCCAAAAATGAATGTTTTGACAACAGTAAAACACATTGGCCTTGAAACATTTCTGTAATGAATCTGAGAAATCTAAATGTTGTTTGAATAATTCTACTGTCATCTTGTGCTAGAAAACTTACAGCCTTTTTAAAAATGTCTTTACAAATGCAACAATTAATTTGTTTGTTCATCATTATTTTATTTGACTTTAATATCCACTGAAAATTTTGATGACATTCTAGGGAAATTTTACTTGCATACCTCTGCATCCCCAGTGGGTTACTTGGAAATGCATGTCTATTGTGCTTAGCTTCTTTGGCACTCCGCTGTTGCTATACAAGAGTTGTATTTTAGGGTTCAACTACTAGTGTATTATCAGATTGTGACCTCCCCGAGAACTCATCTTCCTGAAGGTTACATCCAGGAGAGTATCTGCCATTTCTCACAGTATTTATCATGGCAAACAGCAAGTGATCTTTCCCAGGAGTGCTCAAGCTACCTTTCTAGTATGGATTGCCATCTGTTCCCAATAACTCAGGCTTTCCACACCATCTTATATTTTCACTTACACTGTTACTCATCATTATTAGGTCCAACAAAGATAGGCTGATTAATATTATTCCTCTGAGCAGTTGCAGAGGATAACGAATGCTGCACTCTTGAAGAGAAATTGAGGAATCATTTCTCCAAAATACTCATCTTTTCATTCAATGTAAATCACACCCAGAATTCCCTACCACTTGCACAAGACACAGGTCTCCATCACTGCCCTGCTGAAGGTCATTGCCTAGCCAAAAATGAATGTCCTCTAAGCTGATTTAAAAGGAATTAGAAGGTGCAACTACACCAAGCTCTGACTTTCTCACAGTGCTCACTTAACACTGAGTTTCACTTCCTTTCACAGAATTTTACCTTCAATGATGACTTCAGTCCCAGCAGCACCAGCTCGGCAGATCTGAGTGGCCTCGGAGCAGAACCCAAAACTCCAGGGCTCTCTCAGTCCTTAGCACTGTCATCAGATGAGGTATGTTCTTGGCACTTAGACCGATCTGCTCTCTCAGATAAGGCATGTTTATTCATGAACTGTCACTGGAAAAATATTTTTTAGACTAGATTTATATATAAATTACCAAGACTCTGGTTTCATATTTGCAATGACACCTTCATGATTTCTCTTCCTGTGTCTCAACGTAAAAGCAGAGTATCATCCCTAAACCCCTTTAAACTGTCCAGGAACCTTCTCAGATTTTTTCTGTGATTCAAATAGGATAACTCTAAACAGATGTGGAGATCAGAGGCTGGGCACTGAAGAGCTGAAATAGGGAACAATCACACTCAAGTTTACAGATAACCATTCCCCTTCTCCCAATATGTTCCTATAATAGTGCCCCCTCCCCAAGATTCTGATACACCCTCTTACGCCCTCTATATGGACAGGATCCCTGGTGGAGAATCACTACAGTGGACAGGGGAGAGGGAATTCCCATTGGAGGTCGGGGGGAGACTGATACTGGGTGAGTAGGTCCTGGATCAGTTCGGCATTGCTATGTATCCTCAGAAGATAAATTGTGTCCAATTTATTATATTAGTTCTCCAAGAGATAAATAAAGAATAACAGAGAATGTGGTGGTGATGACACTTGTATTGGGCAGGGTAGGAACTGTCAGAAATATATTTTCACTCAAAATACTTATTCATAAATATTCCTTTATAATGTGATATTTTATTTGAAACTATTTCTCTTGCCCATCTTCTTCAGGCTTACTTGATGTTAATTTTATTACGTATGTACTGAATATCTTGTATCTCCTATTTCTATAACACTGTTCTTTTTGATTCCTTTTTTGCTCCCTTACTCAGAGCCTGGATATGATAGATGATGAGGTGAGCTATCACTGGGCTTGTATGGTGGCTTATGCAGTATTGTTTGAATTTGTTCTCTCTTTGCAGTTGATTTAACAGTCAAACAATACAAAACCACTTTACTTTAGAGTGGAAAGGGTTTTTTTGTCTTAAATAGTTTCACTCAACGCCCCTGTCTTTTTCTCTTAGTTTAAAACATAAAATATATTTCTGAGTCAGGGTTAACCCCAGATTCCACTTCCAGAGTCCTGCATTGTAACTCCCATTACCATTTTCTTGACATGGTTCATTCTGATTTCATCCTTCATCTTCATCTCAGCTTGCCATCCCCTGCTCTGTGTTCCCTGCATGGGTCACCATGGTGACTTCTTTCTCTCCTCCAAGCCCTATGTCATCACCTTCTGCTCTCATCTTAGTGGTCCTAGGAATCGAGCTGCTCTTTTCACTATTAAATGTAATATTCTGCATTGGACAGACCTGAGTAAGTGCACAACAACACTTATTGTGCTATACCACTTACCGGCCCTTTGGTTATTGATAACCCTGATTTTCTGAACCTTGGTCTCCTTGTTTATTAAAATTAATAAAGAACATTACCTATCCTGTCATCTGCACAGATTTACTGGCTACTTCAATGAAGCAACAGCTGTAAAATTTCCCCTATGTGTGGAGCTTAATACCCTCTCATCTAAGTGAAGGAAAATTCAATATTTGCAAAGATACATTTCCACATATTTCAAGTGTCTCATAAAAGAATAAATGTAGGGAGATGGATTGCATATAGAAATCAATGAGGTGTTTATTTTTTTTTCATGTAATGACCACTCCAAAATGTTTCTTTGCAACATTAGATTTTCTTTTTCTGTTTTAAGCTCCCTTCATCAATAATTACTCTTTACTAGAGGGAACTTCTTAATTTGAAAGTGCCTAAGAATGTGAAGTAAATAAATATGTTCCTTTTAAACTGTGTGTATGTATATGTACACACACAGATGTATATATGATGCACATGCACTCGATGCAACTCAAACAATTGAGTTATCAATGAATGGTTTAAAAATCAATGTGGCTTTAATGGGCAATAAATTCCTTTGTTATTATAATAGACCATGCTGAGCCATGGCACTTTGGTCCTTTAACAACACTGCATAACATTCCTACCCCAGATCCTTGATGACGGACAGTCTCCCAAACACAGTCAGTGTCAGCATCGGGCCGTGCATGAATGGAGTGTGCAGCAGGTTTCTCACTGGCTAATGAGCCTAAATCTGGAGCAGTATGTGTCTGAATTCAGTGCCAAAAACATCACTGGAGAGCAACTCCTGCAGTTGGATGGAAATAAACTTAAGGTAAAGAATGATTTATCACTCTGAGGTTATGAGGTGTAATTTATATTACTCACAAGCACCTAAAATGCTTTCATTAGGTATGAGCATTCTGCATATCTGAGCAACAATTCACAGCAGATGGCAAACGAAAGGACATTGAATTATTTCTAATAGCAGACCACATCTCAAAAAGACCATCATAGATCTAGATCAAACAGTAGGCTAAAGACTCTGTAGATTCACTTAGCAACACATGGTTCAAGTATTAACTCTGTCCACCCCCTCTGTGGTTGTCAGTTTTAATACTGACCATCGTGGACTCTTTTGTTACATTAAAGTGAAAACCCAGATCCATGAATCTTCCCTTCTGTACTCATTTTTCCTCCATTCTGCTTTTCCCCGAGCACTACTCCAAAGCAAGAAGGTTCTCACCAGAACTTTCTTGCCCAGATCATGCAGACAACATCTTCCCAGTGCCCCCCTTCTCCCTCATTGTCACGCATTAAGTCCATCTACCTTAGAGTCTGAGGTGGCACCCACCCAAACCTGTGTATAAACATCCAAAAAAAAATTGCCGCCCGCCCACCCTCCTTTCCACCATGGCCCCCTGTTGAGCTGACGGGCAGATGAGTATCTCTTGACAGTCCTGAAAAGGTTAGCAATCAGTCAGTATCCTGTGAATATGAAGGCCCCATTGACAAGGCTGTCCCTGTTGGGGAGATGGATGTTTCCTGCTGTTGATTCTGAAGGTCATGGAACATTTAGAGTATGTGAACTATCTTCGCTTATTCTGAATTCCAAATTCATCGAACAACCTCTTTATTATAATCAGGTTTCCTTTAGAGGCCTGCCTACAGGGAGAGAATGGCTACTCAGACTGATAGGAACATTTTGGTCCCAAAAACATATTTGGATCTCATTGTGAAATGAATTAATACACTGCTAAAAAATGTTATTTTTTTCAGTTCTGCCTTAGTGAAGGGCTGCTCTGGCAGCAGGGGTCTGCATCTATCTTTTGAAAATATTGATGACTTTGGAAATACTTTTGCCAATAAATGTCTGCAGCCCATAAGGTAGAGAATCAGAATTGTGCCCTTTTTCCATTCATTCTTTCATTGAATGCTAACTCAGAAATCGTTTACATGAAAAGGTTTAGGATGTGCTTTGCTGCAAAGAAAAAAAAGCAGATCCCAGTTTGACCACCCCCACTCCAGTGTTCATATTTGGGGCATTTGTAACCAGCTCTCTGGTTAGCTTGGACCTCTTACTTCTTTTGCTATTGATAAATTTATTTATGACGTTGCAATACTGTAGGCTCAAGGGTCAACAGTTTCACACTGAGTTTGTTTTGGGGCTTTTCTTCTTAGTCTCTTGGAATGACGTCATCCCAGGATCGAGCCCTGGTCAAAAAGAAGCTGAAGGAAATGAAGGTGTCTCTGGAGAAGGCTCGGAAGGCTCAAGAGAAAATAGAAAAACAAAGGGAAAAGCTGAGGAAGAGGGAACAAGAGCAAATGCAGAGGAAGTCCAAAAAGACTGAAAAGATGATGGCAGCAAGTGAGGGTGCTGGTGAGCAGTAACACACGTTCTATGTGGGGGGAGGGGAGCGGAAGGTTCATGCTTCTCCAGCTTCTCCTGTCCTACCTTCCTCCAGTGAATGAAGAAACTGATTGATGGTGGGGTATTGCTGCTGTAGGCAGACTGGGGAACTGTGTGTGGAGTAACTGCATTTTCTGCAATAATAGAATATACTCTTCATTTTAACCAACTAAAATAATCCCAAACTTCTTTTGGCTTATTTACAAATCCATGGATCTTGTGTCTGAGAAATGCAAGTGACTGTATTTCTTTCCCTTCTTACTTACCAACATCGTGTGTTGTTTTGGGTGGATTGTGTCACTTGGAGGACCAGGGCAACTCTGTCCAGCCCTGACACTCACACCCACACCCCCATTGTGTTAATGAAGCACCAAGAACTGTCAGTATGGGATCCTGAAATGGGACAACTGCACATGTCTGCATGGCTGAGGCTTCAGAATCTACTCCAGTGTGCAGGAGAGGTACCCTTCTATGCCATGTTGGCAGCATGTGCTCTGCCAAATACCTATTGTGACAAAAGGCAAACAAAATATTGTTTGCTGGGTGTTGGCAAGAGAGAAGAGAATTAATCTTGTGTTAACTACAGAAGAGAGCAAAATACTTAAGAATGTGGTCATATTTATTACCATGAGGTCTTAATGGTTAATAATATTTATCCTCCAGATTTAGCTGAACAAAGGAGAAAAATCAGATATGATTACATCATGGGATGTTGGGTTCACTTATTCAGTTTTCTACTGCTGTATATTTGGTAATTTCAGCAGCATTCATACACACCACAGAGATTCTCTTCCACCCTACCCACCCCCACTAACAAATTGAACAGGAAATTGATTTTTAAGGAAACCAACATTTTCAGGTTTCCTCTCTGGGGGAACATTCTGGCGGGTCTTCAGCCTCTCTATGACACAATCAGGAACTCGTCCCATATTTTCTGCTCAAGATTTCCCAAGCGTGCTCAGTGTTTTAACAAATGTACTTTTAAGAAAAATAGAAATGCCAGTTAAAGAGAATTCGAATTTGAGTAATGTGCAACCAGAGAAACAATTTTATTGAGTACACGGAATGTTCTGTAAAGAGGAACTGTCAGTTGTATATTAGAGATATTTTGAATGGTTTTTCCTGAATCATTCTCTTCCATGCATTAAAGGGTTCCACTTTGACAGTTCAAGTTTGTTTTAAGATAGTACCTAGGATATAGCCTAGCAGATGAGTCATTTATATATTTGAAAGCCAGCATTAAGGATTTCAGTATTTCGTTGAACTAATTCAAGTTGGAGGAGAAAATAAACTCATCTTGAGAAATTTCAAATGATAGGCAAAAATAGATGTAATAGTTACAGAGATTTTGGATTTGCATAAATTAAACCAGAGAAGCAAGTTTTAGTGTTTATTTTGTAGTTTAATGTTCTTTTGCTTTTTGTAATTCATGTATCTGGTTTTCTTTCCTGCATTGGTTATAAAAATGAGGTCATCCACTTTCCAAGGGACGAGTTTCAAGTGAAGATTTCAGGCCAAATAAAGTCTTGGACAATATTTTCTTCCTCTGCTATGTGAGGATCTCTGTTTGGTTCTGTTCACATTTTACTGGAAATGTTATGTGCACAGAATTTGGGGGAAATGTTCTGAAAGGTTACAAGTAATAGATTATGTAAACGAGTTCCTGCCAATTTAACTCCATCTCATATTTTGAGCATTGTGATTTTTTTAAGAAAGGGGGATCTGAATGTAGAATTATCTAAACTAGAAATTTATAATAATTTTGTTTCTCTCTAGAATCTATTTATTGTTTACTACAGGAGTATTGTCTGCTTTCTTTCAGCCTATTCACTAAGCCCTCAGAAACACATAAAGTAACATCATGTCACTATGTCTATTTTTCTGTCTGTCTTTATTTGGGTATAATGGAAGCTGCCATACTGGATACTCTTCATATTTTGTCATGTGAGCTGCTTTGCCATTTATTAATACAATGGCAAACAAGAAACCACTATTGATCAATTACAAACTTCAGCAAATCTTTTCTAATTCTAAAATACTAAATCAAAATCTGTTCATAATTGTGTTTTCTATTTTAAATATTTGTTTATTGTTGGAGGAGAAAGTGAGCTGGATCACACTGGAAGTTTTAATGTATTCATTTTAAGAGTAGAAAATGAAGGATAATTGTCTTAAGTTATGTTTACACTTTGATAATATTTGAAATGGATGTATATACTGAAAATGTCTACATGTTCCCATTTCTACACCTAATTTATGATCTATAATATTACATTTTCTTAAATGTCTTAGAACTACTGTACTTTAACTTCATTTATATACTTTAGATCAATGACCAAGAGATACTATTATATCAAGTTCTTATTCATTAAATAATTTAGTTCATATTTTAACTATTTTGATTTTTAAGTTAAGCTATGATAATTTTAGATCTTAATGAGTTACTTTAACATTATTATTCAAAACTGCTGAAACTGTAAAAGGCACTTGATTTAGTCATAAAATGTAAAAGATAAAATGTAAGCTGGTTGACATAAAGATATGTAAAAGCAAAATGACCTCAGATGAACATATTTTTCCTCATTTCTTTTGTTAATTCTAATGCATGATTCCTAATTGAGGTTGTTGTGTCTTACACAATCTCTACATTTATGCTATGATTTTTTATTGTTAAAAAAATTTAACACAGAATTGTTGCCTCATGTATCTTCCATTTTTATCAGAAAATGAACAAAAAAGAAATATCTGTTTACTGTGAGCTATAATCACAGCTCAGTATAACTCTTGCAGTAGACAAAAGCATTTTGCAGTCTAGTTAATGCTTTATTTTTGGGGGGAAGGGAGTGGGGTGGGTGGGAATATGAGTGAGGCCAAACTAGACAGAGAGGATTGTATGAGATAAGTGTCTGGGGATAAAGGGTTTTCCATGAAAATACTTTAATTATCTTACAGATTTTTTTTTAATTTAAGGCCATATCCTTGAAAGTAATAGTTTATGCCATAGTTCTCTCATTCTTGTTTTTTAAACGTTAATCAAAAGTTTATTCCTGAGTGACACATAAGACCAAAAATCTAATTTTGCCTTTCTAACACCTTTTGAAGTTCACTTTTAGTTTCACAGCAATAAAACAATTATGTGCTAGGTTGACAATAATTTCCCAATCTCATAAGCATTTTAACCCTCAACAGTTCTTGGAAACTGACAAGAGAAAAACTAAATTAACCCTTGTAGCTGACTTTTTTCCTGTGATCAATTCTGATTTGAAGTCTTGAGATAGATATCCTGAGCCCAAGTCTTAAAGATAGATATCCTGAGCCCAAGATGTAAAAAAGTCATGGGTTGTGTGACCTAGCACTTTAATCAGCCCTTGTGTATTTTAGCTGAGAACAAATAATCTCATCTTGGTTCATTTTGTACTGGGATTAGAATGTGCTTTAAAATGATATTTTAAAAGAGAAATAAAAATTCGCATTTATATGGATATTGTAATCCCACATAAATGCAATGTAAGTGTTAATGGTTATCAGGAACCAGTTTTCAAGAGATAAATCTCAGTATTTAACAATAGTATTCAGGAAAATTCTAAACGGAATCCTAAAAATTGTTGTGTCCAACAATTTAAAAGGAATTTCTGCACTGTTGATGCGTTATATTTCTTTCATTAGTTTGAGGTATTTTAAAGTTATCATATTCCATTTGAACAAAGTTATTGTCCCAATCAAGCTGCAGATGATAAGCATTTCACTGATATGGATGAAGGTCAGTAGAGTTTGTGTTAACTACGTAATGCTAGATTTTGGTATGAAAATGTAAAATGGAAAAGAAAAGTTCTGTTTTTGCTTTAAAATTAGTCTTTTCAAATTTTGATCAAAGACCTGCCTCTATACACTATTTTAAAGCAAAGCACTTAAGGATAACATCCAGAAATAAAATATCCATGTTTTCTACAAGAATTGGTTTCGTTCTTATGGGTGAGAGTAGGGAATATATTCTCACAAGAAAGTAGAGTTTTATGAAATATGAATGTGCTTCATTGAAGTCACTTCTGAAAACTAATCTGGGTATGCAAACAGATTTTGTTTATATGTGTCTTCAATATTTAAAGTCTGAGGAAATTTAGTCCTGGTCCAAAACACTACGGGGGAAAAAAAAATAACACCAGATGAAATACATGATTTAAATGTATTAAACTTAATGTAGCAGCATAGATTAGATCTAGCCAAGAAATTAGTGGCCAAAGAAAAACCCTAAAGAATCCATTTCCAGCCCCCGACCTCCAGAAAATGAAAACATCAGATTCTATCATCTAAGTAGAGTCTTTGTATGATTGTATGGCTGTGTTGAGGGAATGGTTGCTAAATGAAGGTTCACCTATGTAAGGGTGTGGACAAAGCATAGCATGTGACCTGCTTCTAGATCTCCAGAGTAAGAATGAAAAGAAAGATGATTTTCAATCCTTGACTCTTAACCCAAAATCCAACCCCCAAATGATTTATGAATGAATAATAAATAAGGAATAAGAAAACAAGAGGCAACTTCTTAATAGTGTGCATGCCACTTGTGTAGATGTACAGAATTATATATGTGTGAGTGTGTATGTGTGTGTGTAACTCTGTCTCCCACTTTACATGCACACACACACACACACACATACACACACACACACCTGCTGCAATCACCTGGCATAAAATTTGCATATGGAACTTAGTCATGTCAGTTAGGATCTCGAGCAGTAATCATAGCCTTATAGCCACTTTTTTGTGTTGTGTATACATTGAATGGTTCATAAGATTTTAAGAGACTTTTTAATGTAAGTATTTCTACTAAATGCACTTATCCTACATGTTTATATATTTTGGTAAAGTTGATTTATTAGATACTTGATATTTTAGTAAGATAAAATTTCCTCAAATGTTTGATTATGCTTTGATGTCAAGACTGTAAATTACTGAATTGAAGCTCAGAAGTTTATGAGGCTTTGGGCAATTTCAACTGCCATTACTCAGACTAAAAATTGTACTGTGTGTTCTTGTGTATTTGCTCACACTCTAAAATGGTATATTTGCATTTGTGATGCTGAAGTCACTAACCACTGGCTCTCTGATGGCAGTGTCGCCATCACTTGATCATCTACTTCTTTTGCTAAGTGATGGCATGGTTAAGTTATTGAAAAATCTAATGAAAGTATATGTAAGCATGAAAATGTTGTTGGAAAGTGTGTGTTTCTACTTATTTAAGCAATTTTATTTACACACTGAAACCATCTGTTGCAAATATAATCTTTCATTCATGAAAAGAAATTGGCCAAAAAAATCATTACCATAAAAAAGAGATTATTAATAAAGTGGCATTCCAGCTAGGCAACACCTCCCAACAGCATCAGATTTAGATGATGCTTCATGAAATCCCTTAAGTATACATGTATATGTGTTCTTTAATATTATTTGTGGTCATCACTACTAGATTTTTGTTCTTGTATTTTTGATGAAGTGGCATTTCAACAACTAAAATACCTGCTGCATATCACTAAAAAAACTAGAAGCTGAAAAAAAAATGAATTGTTGCATTGTAAGAAGTTTATTGAGCTCCAATCTTTCTTTACATACCACTAAAGGAAAAAGTTGTTTGAAAAAAATTTAAGCCCAGTAAGTATGGATAGCATGTTATCTGAAACTTTTAATTTTTACATTTTGGAGTCTGATCATTTGCATGGAAGAGACAATAGTGCCACGTCTGAATTGTTCTCTTGTGCTTGGTTAATATGTACTTAATCTAGATTGTTTCATTTCAAATTACATTTCTTATCTTTGGTTTCAGGGGCATTTAAAGCAAAATATCATGGTGGTCCTTTGTTTTCAGACCAATCTAAAAATACCTGTGATTAAATTTAATTTGTTAGTGTAAATAAATTTCTTGCCAATGAGTATTCTTGTTGTTAGGCAATGAATGCAATAAAAAGAGAAATACAATAAGATTTGTGGAAGTGATTTTTTGTCTTTCATTGAACTAAAACAAGCCTTGGTGGGGTAAAACTTACTTTAACTGTCAAAATATGTCTATCAATCAAGAGCAAAGTGCACATTTTCTATAAAAATGAAACTAAAAATAAATTTTAGCCCTGATAAAGTGTAAATTGGTAGTTACAGTTACATTTGAAAGCATAATTATGGAACTGGGCACAAAGTTCCAAGATCAGAGCTTCCAGAAGAAATTCTCTCATCCATCTCTCTGTTCCCATCACATCTTCATGATGACAATTTCTAATACCTATCAGTTACGTCTGGAACAAATCCATTAAGCAGGCAGCCTTTCACAGGGCAAGAAACTGAAAAGTAAAGCCATCTCAGAAGTTGAACTTTCTCTAACCAGTTTTAGTACTAAACAACAAAAAAATGTTTAGAAAACTTAAACATAGCAAATAATGAGTATTAATATTTCTCTCCTCACACACAGTCTACAACTATGCCTTTGCAGTGTAAAAACTTAGATCTGGACATTAGAAAATAAGTGAATAAAGCTTTTTTTTTTCTCTTCCTGACTGTTATGAAATCCCTCATGAAGTATCTATACTTTTTTGAATAATCATAAATGTAAGCTATGTAAAATTTCTTTGTATTCACTTTCCGAGGGAGTATCAGAATTTGCTTATTCTGTTAAAAGACTATAATTACCCTATTGAAATCAAGCAATTATTTTTAAGGTAAATTGTTTTATGTAAGCCCCTCAATAAATGATAGTTTCATAACAATATTTCAGAGAAATTAAACTTCCTGAGCTGTGAGTAGCCTCACTGAGAATTGAGCTCTTATCAGGCTTACTCTAATCCTGACATAAGGAAAGGTGTTTTTCAATTCAAACAAAATGTTCCTGTTTATTACTTTAAATCAGTGTTGTTAAACTATTGGCAATTCTCAGTTTATTGACAAAATATTGTTTTAAAGTGATTGAAGCACATCGAGTGCCTAGAAAAGCTTTGCAAAGTCTTCTTGAACATCCCCCCAAAAATAATGTAGTCTGGACCAGAGAGATAGTACAGTAGGTAAGGAACTTGCCTTGCACTAAGCCAACCAAGTTCTGTCCTCAGCACTGCAGATATTTTCTGACCCCCATAAGGAGTAATCCCTGAATACAGAGCCAGAAGTGATTCCTGACAACAGGAGGCTATGATCACTAAGAATATAGTCTAGAAACTACACCTTCAAAGAGACAAATACAGGAAAACAGATGACCTTTTTGGCCAGGTTTTATTTACTTATTTTTAATGGAATCATCGAGAGATACAGTTACAAAGCTTTCATGTTTGAGTTTCAGTCATACATGATCAAACATCCATCCCTTCACCAATGCACATTTTCTACCACCAGTGTCCCCAGTATATCCCCCTTCCAACCCTCCCCCTGCCTCTATGGCAGGCAATTTCCCCCATTCTCTCTTTCTACTTTTGGGCATTAAGGTTTGCAATATAGATACTGAGAAGCTATCACATTTGGTCCTTTATTTACTTTCAGCACACATCTCCCATTCCTAACACTTCCTCCAACCATCATTGTCTTAGTGATCCCTTCTCTATTCTATCTGCCTTCTCCCCCAGCTCATGAGATGGCCTTCCAACTATGGAACAATATTCCTGACCCTTGTCTCTACTGTCCTTGGGTGTCAGTCTGATATTGTAGCACTGTAGCACTGTCCTCCCATTGTTCATCGATTTGCTCGAGCAGGCTCAGTAATGGCTCCATTGTGAGATTTGTTGTTACTGTGTTTGGCATATCGAATACGTCACGGGTAGCTTGCCAGACTTTGCCATGCGGGCGAGATACTCTTGGTAGCTTGCCAGGCTCTAACTCGGGTCGGCCAAGTCGTCTGCGTGCAAGGCAAACCCCCTACCCACTGTGCTTCAGCCCTCATATTATGTTATTTTATATTCTACAAGTGAGTGCAGTTATTCTGTGTCTGTCCCTATTTCTGGTTCATTTCACTTAGCGTGATACTCTCCATGACCATTCACTTATAAGCTAATTTCATGACTTCATCTTTTCTAACAGCTGCATAGTATTCCATTGTGTAGATGTAGCAAAGTTTCTTTAACCAGTTATCTGTTCTCAGGCACTGGGGCTGTTCCCAGATTCAGACTATTTTGAACAGTGCTGCAATGAGCATACAGGTGCAGATGTCATTTCTACTGTGCTTTTTTGTACCATCGGGATATATTCCCAGAAGTGGTATTGTGGGGTCATATGGAAGCTCCATTTCTAGTTTTTGAAGGAATACCCATATTGTTTTCCAAAAAAGTTAGACCAGTCGGCATTCCCACCAACAGTAAAAGAGCATCCCTTTTGAATGTGTGCCAGTCTCTGTGTTGTGAGATGATACTTCATTGTTGTTTTGATTTGCATCTCCTTGATGTTCAGCAATGTAGAGCATTTATTCCTGTGCCTTTTGGCCATTTGTATTTTTTTTTTTTGAGGAACCTTCTGTTCATTTCTTCTCCCCATTTTTGGATGGGGTTGGAGGTTTTTTTCTTGTACAGTTCTTCTAGTATCTTGTATATCCTGGATGTTAATCCCTTATCCTATGGGTATTGGGTAAATATTCTTTCCCATTAAGTGGGCTGTCTCTGTATTTTGGTCACTGTTTCTTTTGAGGTGCAGAAGCTTCCTAGTTTAATGTAGTCCCATTTGTTTATGTTTGTTTACACTTGGTTGGTCCTAGACTCTCAAATATATGATGACTTAATCTTTGATAAAGGAGAAAGAAATGTGAAGTGGAACAAGTGGTGCTGGAAAAACTGGAAAGCTACCTGCAAAAAAAATGAACTTTGACTTCTGTCTAACTTAAGGCACAAAAGTCAAATCAAAGTGGATTAAAGACCTCAATGTCAGACCTGAATCCATAAAGTACATGGAGGAAAATGAAGGCAGAATCCTCCATGACATTGAAGCTAAAAGCATCTTTCAGGTTTTATTTTTTTTAATGATAGTCAACCTTTTTTCTTCCTAAGCTATCAGGACTCTCAGAAGCTACCTTTCAAAGGTTATTGACCTCCCTTCTTTTTATTATCTATTATTTTCTCCTTAGCCTCCACAGCAAATCAGAATTAAAAAAAATACCATCACCATCTCATGTGCCTTTTATCCATTCGGATTTCTTCTTTGAGAAAGTTTCTGTCATTTCATCACCCCATTTTTTGGTGGGGTTGGATGTTTTCTACTTGTGGAGTTCAACCAGTGCTTTGTATATCCTTGATATCAACCCCTTATCAGATGGGTATTAGGTGAATATCTTTTTCCATTCTGTAGATTGTCTTTGTATTCTGGTCACTATATCTTTTGAGGTGCAGAAGATTCTTAATTTAAGATAGTCCCATTTGTTTATCTCTGTTTCCACTGGTTCAGCCATTTTGGAAAACAGTATGGACGATTCTCAAAAAATTAGAAATTAAGCTCCCATTTGACCCAGCACTACCACTCCTAGGAATGTATCCCAGAGAGGCAAAAAAAGTATAGTCTAAATGACATCTGCACTTCTATGTTCATTGCTGCACTCTTCACAATAGCCAAAATCTGTAGAGAAAAAAACCGAGTGCCCGAGAACAGATGACTGGTTAAAGAAATTTTGGTAAATCTACACAATGGAGTACTATGCAGCTGTTAGAAAAGATGAAGTCATGAAATTTACATACAAGTAGTCCTGTCCTGTCCTGTCCTGTCCTCCCATTGTTCATCAATTTGCTTGAGCGGGCCCAGTAACTTCTCCATTGTGAGACTTGTTATTACTGAGTTTGGCATATCGAATATGTCACTGGTACTACATGGAAAGTATCATGCTAAGTGAAGTGAGTCAGAGAGGGACAGACATAGAAAGATTGCATTCATCTGGGGAACATAAAGTAACAAAATAGAAGACTAACACCCAAGAATAGCCGAAATAAGTACCAGGAGGTTCACTCCATGGCTTGAAGGCCAGCCGCACGTGCTAGGGGAAAAGGCAGCTCAGATAAAGAAGGGAGAACCAAATAAAGGGTGTTGGGAGGATCCTCCCAGGATGGGAGAAGCATGCTGAAAGTAGACTATAGACCGAACATGATTGTCACTCAATGCCTCTTTTGCAAACCACAGCACCCAAAAGGAGAGAGAGAACAAAAGGGAATGCCCTGCCACAGTAGTGGGATGGGATGTGGGGTCTGGGGGGTTGGAAGGGATACTGGGATCATTGGTGGTGGAGAATGGGCACTGGTGGAGGGATGGGTACTTGATCATTGTATAACTGAAACCCAAGCACAAAAACTTGTAAGTCTACAACTATACCTCATCGTGTTTCACTAATAACATTTTTTTTAAATACCATCACTACCACCTGTTTGGAAATCGCTTCCCCCACCCTAATCAATGGTGGACTTTATTCTGTATCTGTTTATTGGAGTGAATGCTCTTTATTTTCCCCTCAGCCAAAGAAACCAAAATGTAAAGTCTTGCTGAGATAATAGGCATGCAATATTCAGATGTGATTTTTTAAAAAAAATCAACTACCAATGATGACTTCCAATCATTTTATGATTTTCCTACATGTTATTGCTATAGAAGTGAAGAAGCAAGAATTAAAGGAATGTTTAAGCACATGCAGTTTCTGTTTATTGAGAAAGTAATATATAGAAAAGGAAATTGTAGTTTAAGTCTTCCTGACTTGGCAGCCTGACCTGGCCTTCACCTAGGAAGGGTTCCTTGAGTGAGCAAGAGCCGTTTAGGACCCACCGAAATGGATCTGTTCTGGGTGAGTTCTGGCATTTTGAAAAGCATGTAAGAATCCTGTTGTCCTATATCTGAACCAGACACAGTAAGACAAAAATAAATATACATGCTCTCAGGGAATACTTTGTAGAAGAAAATGGAAAGTTTGGGAGTCATGGACACTTGAAATATTATTTAACTGACATATGACATGACAATTTCAAACATTTCACTGAACAGAATTTTATTAACAAATGAGGTTTTGTTTGCCTGATCTGATATGTTACATATCTGTTTGCATTTCAACAGTAGTCTCAGCCCTGCTGATGGTTAGGGTTCAGTGGAGATCACTGTGTCCTATTAGATATTGACATGGACTCAGAATTTCTATCACAGGGGTGCAGAGTACCCTGTTAGAGCTCACAGTAAAGAGCTTTGTGGAATACGGTGCCAATCAGCAGTTTCCCTTTGTACACAGCAGCCACTGTACTTCCTTGCAACACTGTACCATTTTCAGCATAAACCTGTGTGACTTTGGGTTCTTCTGTTAAAATATTCTGGATTCGTATCACCTATTCAAGAAATAACATCAGTTAACTTTTAAGTCACTTAAACTATAACTTTAACATGTGATCAATTTTCTATAATATTTCTTTTAAAAATTATAAAATTACTTGCTTTTTAGCACAAATATTTCCTGATAGGCAAAACAACAGATTTTGATGAGTTCATCTTTAACAGAGATAAAAAACACATAAGCCTGCAAAAAGGTCTCCAAAAGGGCACATATCTATAACATATTCATTCTTCTGAACATAGGGCTCCTGACCGTCAGGTCTGGCCTCAAAAAATAAAGAAACCAATAAGAATAAAATAGCACCTGAAGGAATGATAGACAAATTTAAAAAAAATAACAAATATATTTAGAAAATGCATGTATATTAAATGGTCAATGAGAATATTCAGAAAGATCACTTTAAAACAATTGGCCTTAAAGACAGGAGTTTTAGGTAATAGCTGTGGCATTAACAAAACCACTGTTTTAACCTGCAGTAGTTACAAGAAATGGTAAATGTATACTTTGGTTTAGGAAATTTTTCTTTTAGAAAACTGAAATTGCTATTCTGTGGGGCAATAGTTCATTTACAGTGAATTGTTCATACTTTTGCTATCCTTTGCTAGATCAGTCATTAGCAGGGAAAACTTTTTTTCCTAAACCAGCAAATCTATGCATACTATAGCAAATGGCCAAGTTCACCAAATGAGCTAATAGGCAAGAACAAATCAAACTCAAATTCTCAGCTCAATTTTCAACAATGAACACACCACAACATACATTCATTCAATTCTATTAAACATACTACAGATCATAATAACTAAGAACTAGCAATAGACTAGCTCAAAGAATTGACATTAAAAAAAATTAAAATTGTTCCATGACCTACCTTGAGATCAAATCAATTAAGGTGTCTGGAAATACACATTTGTTTTTTTTATACCCAAGAAACACAAGCTTTTAAAAATTCTACCGGAGGAGTGAGGCAGACTCTTAAAACCAGCTTTAAAACATACATTATATGTCAAAAAGATACACATTCATGTAAATAACAAGAATAATTAGTATGTACTAATACACAAAATGGAAACCTTGGTAAGTCTCAAGTGATAAACACTCAAGTGCCTAGGGAAAACTGAGTTTCAAATATTTATTTGCACTAATGAAAATTAGTTTTCTACAAAAGAACATAGACACAAGTAGAGTCTTTGGATAGTTATAGCTAAGATGAAAATTAAGTTTTTTAAGCCAAAATAATTTTTAAAATAAGCTAAAAATAAGTGACGTATCATCCCATTTATCAGGATTTAGAGAGGATGGCTAATTGCACTTTAGGACTGATCCATTGCGTTAATTTGTATATAATGACACACATAAGAGAGAGTTGAAAAGGAAGTCAGCCTAAAAACTAGGTGATAATGGTAGTTCTTAAACTTACGAATTTCCAAGTTGGAGAAACCCACTTTTTTTATTTATTTTTTTTTAGACTTACAGATTTTTGTGCTTGGGTTTCAATTACACAATGACCAAGTACCCATCCCTCCACCAGTGCCCATTTTCCACCACCACGGATCCCAGTATCCCTCCCACCCCCAATCCCCCCCATGCCACCCAATCCCTGTGGCAGGGCATTCCCTTTTGTTCTCTCTCTCCTTTTGGGTGCTATGGTTTGCAAAAGAGGCATTGAGTGGTAATCATGTTCGGTCTATAGTCTACTTTCAGCATGCTTCTCCCATCCTGGGAGGATCCTCCCAACACCCTTTATTTGGTGCTCCCTTCTCTATCTGACCTGCCTTTTCCCCTAGCATGTGTGTCTGGCCTCCAAGCCATGGAGTAAACCTCCTGGTACTTATCTCAACTATTCTTGGGTGTTAGTTTCCTATTTTGTTACTTTATGTTCCCCAGACGAATGCAATCTTCTATGTCTGTCCCTCTCTTTCTGACTCATTTCGCTTAGCATGATAACCCATGTAGTACCACTTGTATGTAAATTTCATGACTTCATCTTTTCTAACAGCTACATAGTACTCCACTGTGTAGATGTACCAAAGTTGAAGAAACCCACTTAAAAATAAACACTTTTTAAAAAAATTTTTTTAAAAAATAAACACTTTTTAACCTCTGTGCATCACCGGTTGTGACCCAAAAAGCAAAAATAAATTAATTAAAATTTAAAAAATTAAAAAATAAAAAAACCACTCTGCTGAAATGTGCACCAAGATCTACTCTGAGGGCTTCCTTGCTCTCCAGCTCCAGGTTAGAATCCACCAAGAGGCAGCAGCCAAGACAAGTGAGAGGACTGAGGCAGAAATGGATTTTTATTCTCTGGGCAACCATTCTAGGGAATTCGTTAGCTACACTTTCAACCAGAGGTCAAATTCCTCCCAGAAGATACAGCTCTCCTGTTCTGGCTTCAGATCATTATTTTTTGCTCATCCCCACCCCCACCCTGTTGGCCCACACCTTTATGAAATCTCCCCCAAATTACCCAATTTATATGAATATCTGTCCCCTGCCTAGATTCTAACTAAAATGCCTCCCAAAGTCAAACTACTTATTTTCATTTAATCATTGATCCTATCTATCCATGTTATCCCTTTATTTCCACATATAGTTGAGATCCTTTTTTTCAACTGAAAAATGGCTGGAAGTGCATTTGTGGATTTGATTTTTTTTTTTTTTGCTTTTTGGGTCACACCTGGCGATGCACAGGGGTTACTCCTGGCTCTGCACTCAGAAGTTACTCCTGGCGGTGCTCAGGGGACCATATGGGATGCTGGGGATCGAACCCGGGTCGGCCGCGTGCAAGGCAAATGCCCTACCTGCTATGCTATCTCTCCAGTCCCCTGATTCATTTTTTATACTAACCTCTGATGCAGGAGGATTCTCCGAGTCATAGAAGAAGATTTTCATACCATTGGGATGGCATCCAACCCAAAGATCCCCTGTCACAGGATCCACAGATATATTATCCACGAGTGTATTAAAATCCAGAGACTTCCATATAAAAACAGAGAAAAAAAAGACAAAAAATTTTTTTTAAAAAGAAGACATGAAGCAATACTTCAAGGAAAAGTCCTTGGCCACCACATTGCTGGGAAAGTCACCTGACATTTCTCCTCCCTCCTGGTATGTTAAGGAAATTCTTCTCACTTTCCAGGTGTGCTAATATTTTATCTATCAGTTTCCAGAAAAGATTAAGGAGATGGAAGAGGAAAGTCAAGGAAGACTTGGAAGTTAAGTGGAAGTTATTGTGGATAAATATCACAACATGAACTTAAAAGAGTAAAGGGGTTAAAAAGAAAAAAAATCATCAAACAGTTTCTTCTGAAAAGGCAGCAAATGACAGTTTTAAATATATTTACAAAACAACCAGGAAATACAGATGCATTTCTCATGCGAATGTGGATGAAATGTACACTTTTTAATGGCCAATCAGAGGTTGTGCAGCTAGTAGAGAAGAGATCATCCAGGGCCTAATTTTTTATCTTAGGGTTGAAGAAAAGTTTCTTCTTTGGTTTCCTGATATTATTTAATTCCCTGTTCTTCTGCTTTTTATTTTCTAAATATAAGTTGCAAGCATGTGATGTCTGCACAGATTGCTGTCGAGGTCTTGTACCAGGATCATAAATAATAGCAATGATACTTAATTTCCCCCATTCATCATCCTGGCTGCCTTCTACCAGGGAGAAATCGCATCTATTTGTTTACCTCCAACTCAGCTGGGGAAACAATATCCACCGGGTACCTCAAACAGAAGCCAGCTTACCTCAGTGCCCAGAGAACCTGTAATAACTGGTGGTGACTCATTGTAGAGGCCAGAGCACAGACACATAGCTGCAGCCAGCTGACATTGCCCTGTGCTCCTTTCTCAAAACAAGGGCCACCTTCTAGATCCATGAAGGGACTAGAGACTAAAACAAATTCATGTGAAAACATCACTCATTCTTCTCCTGGAAATAGGCAAAATTGACTTAGGAAACAGCTGAACAAGCATCATCAGGTCAAAATCCATTCCCCATCATGTCTTCTCCATTCCACATCTCTCAGTGTTACTCTGTTTATATACGTTAATTTGGCGAAGTAAGAAAAATATTTGGAAGGAGAATTAGCCTGCTGGCAGACTCCACGGCAGATGAAAATCTGCATACATGAGAATCAGTGCAAGAGCAGGAGCTTACACATACAATTATGATGCTTTGTTCCACATACAATTATGATTGTATACAATTACTGGTTGTTCCACATACAATTATGATGCTTCAACTATGTGCCCTTCTAGAATTCGTGCATCAAGAGAAAGTTGGGAGAGACCTAGTTCCTTCAAGAAGAACTGACAGTTCCGTAGAAAACTTTATCCTAGGGAAGAAATTAACTCTTGCCTTTGGGATGCTGGGGTTAGTGCAAGTGCCCTATCTGCTATACTATCGTTCTGGCACCTAACTCTTGCCTTTCTGATATGCAATTGCCAACAATAATAATACAACACAGTGCACATGCAGGCCACATTACATGTTTTTACAAAATCAAGTGAAAATTTGTACATTTTTCAGTAAAAGAGCAAAATAATATTCTTTCGGAGGGGACATGAAAAGGGTGTTTTCATTAAAAAATAACCCATTTTTCAAAGAATTGAAATTTATGAAGCAAGGTCAATTCATTGGCTATGTTCTATATTTTTTCTTGGTGATGGGACCACATCCCTGTGAATATGAATATTTATTGCAGTTAAATACATGAAACCTACATTTTATTATTTTAGTCATTCTAAGCACACAATTCAGTGGCAATTAGTATTTTACAATGTTATATATTACCACAACCTATCCCAGAAATGTTTATCACTCCGGGTAAAAAATTTATACTCAAATAGTTCCCTAATCCTCCCTCCCTCAGATCCCAGTACTCTATTTCACTTTTTGTCTCTGTGAATTTGTATCCTCAAAGTGCCTCGTGTTAAGTGAAATCAGACAGTATTCACCTTCATGTACCTAATTTTTCACTTAGCATATTGTTTTCAAGATTATTCCATGCTATTACAAGTAGTAACTAGTGATACAGCCTCAGTCACTAGAGATGTGACTAGGTGGTATAGTATGAGGTCCTGGGTTCATTCAAATAATCGTACAGCAAATAATTGTAATAATAAGTAGTTTTAACTATTTTATCAAATGTCTTCATACTCATTATCAATTCGCTGGTCTAAATATGATCCAATTTTAAAATTGATATTAGAATTGGATAAAAAGCCCCAGCGCAAGTGAGTTGAGTTCCTCTATGGAGAGACAGGAATAACTTGTCGCCAAAAGCCAGAATGACCCTGAAATTGTTTTGCCTTTAAGTTTTCCATTGCAGTGAGCAGTCCCTTTATCATCCTGTGTTGAATGCACATTGTATTGGACTCTATTCTTCTGCAATTCTTTAACTTTCAATTTACCAAAGTGCCTATTATTACAACTAGAGTTAGCTTTTATTCCCTCAACCAGTATGAGTGTGTGAAATCCCATTTTATTTCAGCTAATACCAAACTAGCTCTGCCAATAATTCTTAATGTCAAACATGATGTTCCATTTTATGTTGCCTCAAGGTAATTTTCTCAGAATGAAGTCCCCGTGATAGCTCTTCAGATGTGCTGATGGGCACAGTCACCATGCCAGGTGACAGGGCTTCACGCTGTGGGCAATGATGGCTGGGGAGCTATACCTTGTTTGTCAAAGGCAGGGGGCTACTTTTATCATCTCTGCTTTGTTCTAGTCTTCCTTTTTCCTCTCTTATGCTTTAACAGTTTTGACCCAGACCTTCAGACTGGAACAGAGTTGGTGGTAAAGATGAAACCCTACCTCATCATTTGTTGAGTGTCTTGCAGGTGTTCAAAACTTTTCAGAAGAAAATAGAAAAAAAAAAACCCAAACTATCCTTGTGGATAGTTTACAACCTAGAGAAAAAAGGCAGACAGTGGATAGGAAAATGAAAGCTACTATATGCTATTAATGAATGAATGCTTAAGGGGAAAATAGCCCAAAAGAAGAGAGAAAGTAAGTATGGAGTGGGGAAAGAGAGAAATGGGGAGCTGAGCTGCATATTCAGAGCAGGGCTATAGTTGAGGTGACTTTTAAGGATAATGTAGGATATGAAGGAGAGACCAGTGGAGATCTGGCAGGTGAGCTTGTGAGCAGAGGGAGCAAGCCCACCTGAGGTTAGAGACCCACATCTGAAAAACACCAGAAACATGCAGGCAGAAGATGAAAGGCAGGGAAGAAAGGCTGGAACTAACAGGAGCCGTGTGAGAGCTATCCCGTACAGGAGTCCACGGTGAATATTTGTGCACTGTGTAGGAATAATGGTGAAAATGCTGCCGTACTAATACAAGTTGAAGCTCTCTCGGGTGCTGATAAATATAAAGGGAAAGAAGCAAAGATAGAGAAAGAAGAGAAAGTGCAGAAAGCAAAAAGGGGGTTGGAAGGAGAAAGGAAAGCAGGAAGGAAAGGGTTGAAGGGAACAATGAAGACAATGGAGGAAGATAGAGGAAAATTTAGGACACATGCTAAATTTAAAATTTCACTAAAGCAGGAAAGTTTAATAGATAAGTTGTGGGGTTTGCCACAACCAACTCTGCAGTGGAACTAAAAGTGAACAACAAACACAGTACTGATGACTCTTAATAAAGGAGTGAAAAATTGGTTCTCACCCACTCCAATTAGACGATCCTTTTTTCCTCACTTTTAATTTCACAAATCAATTAGAATCTAATTATCACTCTACAAACTTATAGTGTTAATACATCTTACCTTCAATGGAGTTAAAGTCCAATTAGCGTGCTTTTCATACACATGAATCTTATGAGCCAGCAATTCAGCTATATAGACATACCTTCAAGGAAGAAAGAGCTACATCAAAGCACTTGAAGTAAGGAAATTTAAAAGTTTATGGTGAAGTTTCAATAACTCTTCCTAGGCGGGAATTTTGCTTAGAGATTGGAAATTTGGAACCCAATTCAAAGCACACAAAAATTCTGAAAGAACTCATTGAGTTCATGGTGCCCAAAGAAGGCTTAAACTCTGAAAAGCTATTTCTAAGGCCAGAAACTTGGTCAGCAACAATCAATAGATAGGGAACTTAGACCTAACTGAAGTTCTTGATATCTGGAGGCAAAAATGTACTGTAATGCTCTCTTCATCAATATGGTGGGAAGCTCCAGGTTCTTGTTTCAGAAAATGAAGTGCTCCTTAAACAAGACTTTAAAAAGCTACAGAAAAACCCTTGGATAACTACTAACCCCTTTTTGGGCTCAAGAAAGTGTAATAAAAGATGAAATGATTAGCCTGAGTCTGAGAAACCTTCCTTCCTCTCCCCAGCCCTGAGTCTAAACTTGATCCTGTGGAAGTTTGTACACAATGCCTACCACACTCAACATAAACTCTAAGTCTATCCACTAAGCATAGTGCATCTCAGAACAAAAAGGGGAAGGACTGCTTGATTACTTGTTACTCTTGGAGACTGTGAGGCATCCTTATTAATTGAAAACTCTTCAACTTATTTTCTTGAAAAAATTGCCAATCCTATGAAATGTTTGTGATACAACATAAATATCTAAAGAGATACATAGATTTTACGTATTATCCAATGCTACCCAAAAGTGTCATAGTAACACTGGTCCATGGATTGCATGTTTAGGTACCACCACAAGATAATAAGGTAAATCAGCTATACAACTCAACACACTGCTCCATTAAGCTGATTCACCATTATCATTACCCACTGTTCCGGGAATACTCTCAGTGAGGAAGGCAGTGACTTGATTTACTGTTGTTGCAAATTCTTTATCTTAATTACAAAACAAAAATACAGGGGTTGGAGCAATAGCACAGCAGGTAGGGTGTTTGCCTTGCACGCGGCCGACCCAGGTTCGATTCCCAGAATCCCATCTGGTCCCCCGAGCACAGCCAGGAGTGATTCCTAAGTGCATGAACCAGGAGTAACTCCTGTGAATTGCTGGGTGTGACCCCCCCCCAAAAAAAAACCAGAAATACAGATGGATGTATGGATCAATCTACTGTTAATCTCATTATTCATTTAGATCCATCCTTAAGCAAAGCTGTTTAATAAAATAAAATGTTTATTAGATCTCATCCCATTGAAAACATACTTTATTCCCTACACAAAAAAGAATGTAAGAAAAAAGAATATGCCTTTATAAAACATATTTTTAAAATATGCTAATTCCCCCTGAAAATTGAGATTTTTACATCTTTCTAATGTGTGCTATTAGAAAAACATGTTTGAATATAACTTCATATTTGGGTAATAGTTTACCAAATAATGGGCTGGAAAGATACTACAAAGGTTGAGGATTTTTTTCTTGCCTTCTACTTGGTTGATTCCAGTTTAGATCCAAGGCACCACATTGAGTTTCCTAAGCACTGCCAAGAATTATCACTGAACACAGAGGTTAACAAATGTCACCTCATTAAATAGAATAGGGGTATCTTCTAAATAAGTTTAATGAGGAAAAAAATGTAACTTTTTATGTAATTCACATACTTGCCATCAGGTGAAATATTGATTCCGTTAGCAAAATCAAATCCCTCTGCCACCACTTTGACTTCATTTGGACTATAGTAAACAACATATGACCATGCCAAACCCAAATATAACTCCCAGGATCTCAAGTAATGGTTCACAAAATAGTGATCATTTGTGGCATAAAAGTGCTCAGGTCCCACCGCAACAATATCATTCACACTGCAATTAAAACAGACATATATTTTATGTTTTACACATGTTAACATATTATTCACTGTTATTCCTTGACATCCATTAATATATATTACTAAACTCAAAGTGTGGGAAGGAGCCTTCACTTCAGTTGTTATGGAACAGAAGTACTATGCATTATATCCTTACTGCTTATACTATTCTCAAGACCATAATTACTTTAAGAAATTCTAAGAAGGTATTATATATAAGGTAATTCTATCAACTATATCTTTTCAATAGTTATCTGTATATATGTATGTGTATATGTGTTTGTAGACATAGTCAATTTACAAACTTTTGGCCAGGAATCATTATTAAGAGAAATTTTATTTATGTTCTTAAATAATTACTCTTACATAAAACAACTCAAGGATAATAAGCAGTAGAAGAAACATTGGCGACCTTGTAATATATATTTTGATTAAAACACCAACAGCATTTGCTACATTATTCTGAGAAAATCAATTCACATGTCAGGGCCTCAGTTTCCTTATCTCTAAAAGGAGAGTGATATGACTTTTCTTGCAGCTTTAATGAGTCACTTCTAGCCCTAACCATTAGAATTCTGAATGCACAGAAATAGGATGTAAGGATTTTTTACTTTCATAATTTGATTTTTGACTAGTGAAAATCTAAGATGCATGAGTTTCTTTTTCTGCTTTAGCAACGAGCACATAAGTGAGTTGTACTTTGCTGATTAGGATGGCAGAACCTTCCTCATTCATTATTTTCTGTCTGTACTGCAGAAGGCAGAAAGTCTATCGAATCACTGATATGACAGATTAGGGCTCCTTGGCAGTTAAGTAATAACAAAAGGCCCCAGTTTTCTCATCTGTAAAAAGGGGTTAAATTGTTTTCCCAACATACTAAAGATCATTTTTGTATGACTGAGAGTCAGAGTTCTAATTTGTAGAGTTGCAAAGGGATTTACAAGAACATAAGGACTGTTGTGTGCTTTGCAAGAAACCTGCCACTTACTAAACCCTCAATGAATGGGATCCACTATTGTTACATGAAAGAAAAGTATCTAGGAATTTAGAATTAGTTTAAAGCAGTCCATAATTAGGATTATAAACTCCAGGTATAAACTCAAAAGCCGGGATTTTAAACTGTTTTTCTAAAGCAAATTTCCAAACTTGATATGCTTTGCAATCATTTGCCCATTTGTCATAAAATAAAAAGAGCAGAGCAGAATGGGTTGAAGTAATAGTTTTGAAACATTTAAAATGTTGATTCAACTGATAGATTACAGTTGAATCCTGATGTTGCTAGCTATTATAGGGATCACAGCATGTCTCTAAGCCTCAGTTTCCTCTCTGTAACTTGGAAGGTCAGGGTAAGATGAAAATATAAGTACATGAATCTCTGAACTATGCCTGGTATATAGTACATGGCCAATAGAGGCCACTCTGTTAGTAATTAATACTAACAGACTTACAACAGTTTTAGTCATTAAAATGTTGATACCAAAAACACAATGAACAAATACACAACGGAAAATACATATGATTACTCTTTGGGTTAGGAGAGCATATTTTTTTAACTATTTGTAACACTATAGTTACACAGAGCTGGGAAGATAGTTCAGGGGTGGGGTGAGCATGACTTGCACACAGAAACATCGAGTTCAATCCCAAGCATTGCATAGATGCCCAACACTGTTACCACCAAAGAAGCCTCGGTGGTCCCAAGAACCACTGTGTCCAAGTGATTTCACATCACCACACTGGAGCATTAAAGCACATAACTTTGTTGGCAGGGAGTGAGCTCCGGACTCCCTGAACACTTCTAGGGAGCCCCCATAAAGAAAGGAATAGAAATATGATTATAGATATCAGTACTTAGGCAGAAGTTTATGTCTGATGGTTTTCAGGTGCAAAAGTGATTTTTCTTCATTTTGAAATTTAAACACCTCAATTGTGGTCTTAGAATGTGGATGGTTCACAACTAGTAGGTACACAGTATTATCTGAAAAGAGATTAAAAACAAAAATTGAAGCATTGAGCTCTCAGCTGTCAATCCTGTCTCCAAAAAGCAATTTTAACTCACGTTCAACTAGTACTTAGGATATCATGCAGATGGAATATTTTCATCTCTTTGTAGAGAGAAGCATCTGTGATGCTCCAAGGAAAACTGGCTAAGAGAAGACCCAGTGACAGTTTCTAGAAACTCAGTCTCTAGAAAGTTATTTTCCACAGAGGCAAACAAATCCTCAACTTGAGAATGAGCAGTGCTTTGCACTAAGATTCCAAAGAGCTTGTAAAGTTTTCCATTGCAGATGGTTTCAGGTAGATGCAGACTTGAGATAAAACAGATAAAATACATGGAAAAAAACTAGTATGAGAAGGAGTGCTGAGATAATTTAGTGCACAATGATAAATTACATGTGAAGAAAATTTGAGAGATAGTATCAAAAAAAAAAAGCACTTCTCCAGATCAGTTCAATTCTGGGACATGAAAGGGATTCATTCAAATGAGTCTGATACAAAGGTGTGATCAAAGTTGTTAAGTGAGGGTTTTTTTTTTTTTGCTCTAAGATGCCTATATCTTTAGGAACATTTGACACAACTGAGGTGATGCTTAAAGAAATATAATGCAAAGTTTAGCAGTTAGAACTGAAGAGATTCAAGTAGAAAAGCCTGTTAGGAGTCTGCACCAGTATGTTCAACAAACATATTTGTAGCACTGTAGCACTTTCTTCTCAGTGTGCATCGAATTGCTTGAGCAGGCACCAGTAACCTCTCCATTATGAGATTTATTGTTACTGTTTTTGGCATATTGAATAAGCCACAGGGTGCTTGCCAGGTTCTGCCATGCGGGCAGGATACTCTCGTTAGCTTGCTGGGCTCTCTGAGAGGGATGGAGGAATGGAACCCCGGTCAGCGTTGTGCAAGGCAAACACCCTACCTGCTGTTCTATCGCTTTGCTAGTAGGTGTTGTGTGCTATAAAAAGAGAATAAAGTGACATGAGAAGATGGAGAGGGAAGTTCTTTCTGATGAAGTGATTATTTAGCAGAAATTAAATAATAATAAGAGACCAATATCTTATAGCTATCTTGTTAAAGAAAATCCCAGACTGAGAAATATGTCAACATCATAAAACTAGGTGGAGAAGGAAAGAAAAGAGAAGAAAGTATTAGAGAACGGAGTGTGGACAAAGTTGATAATTTTGAAAGCAGAAACTTTAGTCGTCCACTGTCACTATCACTGTCCTCCCGTTGTTCATCGATTTGCTCGAGCGGGCCCAGTAACGTCTCCAATGTCAGACTTTTTGTTGCTGTGTTTGGCATATCGAATACATCACAGTAGCTTGGCAGGCTTTACCATGAGGGCGAGATACTCTCGGTAGCTTGCCAGGCTCTCCGAGAGGGGTGGAGGAATCGAACTCAGGTCGGCCATGTTCACTGCATGCAAGGCAACTGCTCTACCCACTGTGCTATCACTCCAGCCCATCATCCACTATGAGGAACTGTCACTGTCACTGTCACTGTCCTCCAATCGTTCATTGATTTTTCTCGAGCGGGCCCAGTAACGTCTCCATAATGAGACTTGTTGTTACTGTGTTTGGCATATGGAGTACGTCACGGGTAGCTTGCCAGGCTTTGTGCCGTGCGGGCAAGAGACTCTCGGTAGCTTGCCGGGCTCTCCGAGAGGGGCGGAGGAATCGAACTCGGGTCGGCCATGTTGGTTGCGTGCAAGGCAGACGCCCTACTCGCTGTGCTATCGCTCCAGCCCATCATCCACTATGAGGAACATTTAGATGAAAGGTTGCCTGATAAGGGAGACCTAGGGTAATGAAAGGGTAGGAATGTGGTTCTTAGTCCTGGCCTTACATTTTAATCACTGGACAAGATTTTTTTTCCTCATTGATTTTTAATTGAATCACTGTGAGATACAAAGCTGTTCACAATTGGGTTTCAGTCATACAATGTTCTAACAACCATCTCTTCACCAATGTGTATTTCCCACCACCAATGTCCCCAGTTTCCCTCACACCTGCCCTCTACCTCTCCCATCCCTCAGTCTGGACAACTTTTATTAGTACTTGAGTACTGCCAACCCAGATCTCCCTTAGACTGACTGAATCAAACTATTTGGAACTGGACCACAGGCATAAAAATATCATGAGTCACAACTGATGATTATAAATAGTAAAACAGTACTGGGATGAAGGTTCAAGAGCTAAAGTTGCCATAGATGGGGTAATGAAATGTGGAAAAGAAGCTTGAAGGCAAAACAGGAACTCATGAGACACTGAGAAGGTTGAAGAAAAACTGACCAAGGTGACTTTCTGTCATTATGTTTAAGCATTACTACCTTCATCTGTGAATGTGCTAATTCCATGAGGGTTAAATGAAGATAAATCAAATGTATTTCCAATGAGCCTCAATTCCACCGCTGTCGGGTTTTCTTCATTCAGGTCCATTAGAAATATTTTTCCAGGGCTATCAGGGTCAAAGGTCTTTATTCCAGGGTATTTCAATCCCTTGTAAAATTAAGAAGAGAAAAAACAAGTATATTATACGTACTCCCAGTGCTGATGGAGGAGGTTGAAGGAATATGTGTTCACACTGTCTGCTTCAGGCCACAGGACCATAAATGGGAAATCTCTTAGCTGGTTTGTGTGATACTGAAAACCACCAGATCCCTTCACGAAATACAAATGCACAGATGCTTCCATCCGCAGCAGCAAAGCCTTATGAATTTATATATTCAATCCAGGAGAAAGATCAAAAGTGGAAAAACAGGTCAAGGAGATGATTCCTAATGGGTTTTGACCATATAAGCAAGGAAGCTGCAGAACACATTAGTTGTGGACTTTCAAACTATCTCTCAGCCAATCCTTTGGAAACATCTGCTGTAAAAATTTAAAAAGTTATGAGGTATTGGAGGTATTGCTATAGAAGATAGTCACTGATGATCAGTCTTTGTAAAACTAAATAAATTTCAGCAGGCAATAAAGAGTTAAAGTAACTAGGTAACTTGTTATATTCTGATATACTAGGCCAGATTGTTGACTTCTTTTGTTTCAAGATATATCAGGTACCTCAGTAAACAATTAAATTACTATATTCTCTTTTAGTTTTGATTAAAGTAGTAGATTATCTTCAAAGTTTAAAAGTTGTGGGCTGTTCTATTAGTAATTTTAAGTAATAATTTTAAGTAAATTAAAGAAAAAGTATAAAATAAAAGAGATAAAAATTATGGGACTAGAGATAGATTGCAGTGGGTAGGGCACTTGCCTAGCACAAGGCAGACCGAGGTTTCATGCCCAGAAACCCATATTGTCCCATGAACCCACCAGGAGTGACTCCTGAGTGAAAAGCCAGGAGTAAGTCCTAAGAACAGTTGACTGTGGCTCCAAAACAACATAAAAAGAGGTAAAAATTAAAAATGACAGGCAAGGAAATGTACATAAACACATTCTCAATTCAACAAAGCATTATAAAATTATATATAAAATTAGATGCTTCAAGGGATAGGTAGTGGATGGAAAATAATGATGTGTGTGTGGGTGTGTGTGTGTGTGTGGGTGTGTGTGTGTGTGTGTTTTGGGTCATATCGTTACTTCTGACTCTGTGTTCAGACATTACTTCTGTTAGGCCCAGAGGGCCATATGGGGTTCCTGGAGATTGAACTGTAGTTGGCCTTGTACCCTATCCGCTATACCCCAGGGAACAGTTCTTTAACTCATCTTGTTCACAAACAAAATACCACTATGGAAGATAAGATAAGTATTCAATGAATGCACAGAAATTTAAGTATTTATAACACATAAATTACGAGTGCAAATGCATATGCAGTATATTTTGAACCACATTATTGATCATTTTATTTAAAGTTGTAATGGATATATAAAAGTTTTAAGTAGAAGACTTAGCAGACAGGCATAGAAAATGTCCAAAGTATAGTAAGGGAAAGAAAACACTTACAGAGCTAATGAAAGACAGCCCATTAGGAAGTATCTCCAAGTCTTCAGAGCCAGCTTCTACCAGAAAGAAATAGACAATACAAATGATTTCAGACTATTGCAGGAAGTCAGCAATTCACGTTTTTATCACTCCTAACTTGTGAGCTTTATATTCAACTCTTCCTTGATAGGTTCAAAATAATTCATTCTTTTCTGTATTGACTAAAATTATAATATAAAAGTGAAAAAACATTAATACAATTAAGTGAAATTAAAACTTGCATTTTGATTTAATTTAAATTGATGGAATAGAGCTTTTTCCTTGGAGTCAGAAATTTCTACATTTCTTGAAAATTCACAAAATGTACAAATATGTGATCATTTGAAAACAGCTTTTTGAAGACAGTTAATATTTTCATATCAGATAAATGCACTGAAATCCATATAGGAAATATATGTAAATGCCCAATACTTTCATTAATATGAGGATGAATTTTATATGATACAACTGTGTTTCTACTTTTAATTATAAACTTTAGTAAATATTGCCAAGTTTTACTTAAAGTCTAAGTACATTTAAACATTTTAATCAGTCTATAGACAAGTGACTTTTTAAAAATATTTGTATTATTAGATGATCATTTATTAATGATACACTGATTTTTAATATCAATATCATATTTTTTACATAAAAAATGTCCTATCAGCTTTCTGGCCAAGTTTACTAATTTTTTTTTTAACTTTTTGGGTTAGACCTGGAGATGCACAGGGGTTACTCCTGGCTCTGCACCAAGGAATTACTCCTGGCAGTGCTCAGGGGACCATATGGATGCTAGGAATCGAACCCAGGTTGGCTGCGTGTAAAGGCCGCTACACTTTGTGCTATCGCTTAAGCCCCAAGTTTACTAATGTTAACTAAATAAATTATCTAATCTACCTTATTTCCAAAAATCACCAAAATATGACAAAAGTATGACTATAAAAGTTGTCCTCAAATTAGACCTTGGTTGACTGAAACTAAATGGGTACTTGAATTCTGGGACTCTCCTTCTGGGTTGCTTATGGGCTGCTATTCTCCTGCCCTTTTATCTTTTCTGACACTGCCTACTTCTCACAATGGAAGCCAAATAATTACTTTCTCAAATGCCTTTGCAGCTAGGGCACCAGCTATTATCTATCTCCAACTAATGATATCTAAGGGGAAATCTGTTGAGAATTCTGGGGAATGTTTTCTGTCCTGATTTTAAAAGAGAGATGCATAAGGCAAAGCCTTGGGTAATCATACAAACACAAACAAACACTGTCCTCCCGTTGTTCATCGATTTGCTCAAGCAGGCCCAGTAACGTCTCCATTTTGATACTTGTTGTTACTGTGTTTGGCATATCGAAAACGTCATGGGGAGCTTGCCAGGCTTTGCCAGGCTCTCCGAGAGGGGTGGAGGAATCAAACCCAGCTCAGCCGGGTTGGCTCTCGCACAAGGCAAATGCCCTACCGTAATCATAAAGGTGTGCAAAAGCTTCTAAAATTTTGCCCTACCTACTGATTTCTCTCCCACTATGGTCCCTCCTCTGCCATCCTCTCCAGTTATTTTTACCACAGAATCAAACATTGTTCTGACTATTCTCATGAAATTGCCAGCCCAAAAAATCACACTAGCTGTATTCTGTTAATATTAAAAGTCAAATAACTTGACATTCATAATAATGAATGAATAAACTACTGACCTAATTCTACCTTTAGTTCAAATTTTATTTTTGTAATCAAAATTAAACAAGAGTGTCAATCAAGTAAATAAGAAGATGATATTGCAGATTTAAATGAGATACACCCTCCTCTTGACCTACTTACCAATTCCTTCAATGAGATTACAGCTAGGAGGTTGTACAGATTCTACTTCTCGGAAAGCATTAAATCGAGTTCTAAGAGAGCAAAAGGGAATGAGATGTATATAAAATTATTCCAAAATTTTAGTTCAATTACAAAGGTAAACATCGAATATGGTTTTCCTACACTGTACTTGACCCGGATTTCACCCTATCCCTCGTGGTCACAGGTAGCTAAGCAAGGCCAGAATAAGACACACATGGGTACAGCATTAAGTATTGATTTAGCAGAGATGCTTCTGACTACACAAAGACATGTAACATTCTTTCCAGGGCTCTGGAACTTTGGATTAAACAGGAGCTGTCTCCTCATGTGGAAATTTGGATTAAATAGAAACACAGTTCCAATTTATACCACTAATGTTTTAGGATTGCTGATAGATGGCCTCCTGCCCATCTGCCGAGACTGCCTCCACAGCTTGGATGGGCATCTGCTCTCGGGTATTGCACTTAATGCATGTGTGCTTAAAGGGTGTATAACTTCAAAGAATAAAACTCAAGGCCAGAATATGAAAAAGCATTGGAACTGGAGTGATAGTACAGCTGGTTAGGCTTTTGCCTTATATGTAGCTGACTGGGTTTGTTTCCCAGAATCTCATATAGTCCCCCAAGCACTGCCAGTAGTAAGCCCTGAACATTGCTCATTGTGACACTCCCCTCTAAAAAAAATCATTTTATACACATACACATATAAGCAACTTATTAAGTCTGAGTGCATAAACTTTGTGTGAAACTTTTAAATGAAGGGTAAAGATCTGAATGAAGTCCAAAGATTTGAATGACGGGCAAAGAAAACAAAGTCCAGAGTTTTACAGGAAGGTACAGCGGGCTGCCTGAGCAAAGAAATACTATTATTGATGAGGCAGTTAAAGAAATGGGCCAAAAAAATTAGCACAGTCAAGATATTTAAACATTAAACATTCCTTTGAGAACTAATGCTATGATACAGACATAGCATAACTAATGCTATGATATAGTAAGTAGCTGCAGCTCTACAAGAGTCCCTCAAAATCAAATTTGGCTAAATAATGATAGGTTGAAAAGTTTTTACCTGACTAATAATTAATTTAGTGTCACAGAAGGAAGAGTACGGGTTAAAAGTGAACGTGCATTGGGATAGCATAATTGTCAATCTGCAACAAAATGCTTAGAGTATGAGGACAAATGATCTGTCATCCTTTCATCTATTTAGGAAAAAGTATAGCCTGTTCCTACTATTACAGTATCATTGATTGTCAACCCTATCACCTAAAAGAGGTCTGATCTAAGTGACTATGAACTATGATTTGAGAACTAAAAAGTATTTCAGAACTAAAAAACTGAAATTATAATCACAAAAAGTCACAATAAATAAATACAAGGTAAATGATAAAGAAGTTTCTTGCAAACTTTTCAGAATGAAATTTGCATGAAAAAGTATTTCATTTGAAGAATTACAGAGTGTACACACACACACACACACACACACACACACATTCATACACCTGAAATAAAGTTCACACTAAAACTTGTTAACTTGTTTGATGGTAATATGAGCAATATAGTTTAATTTTTCATTACATTTTATTTCATTTATTTTAAAATTCTGACCACAATCTAGTAAATTGATTTTGTGATGGGTCTAGTTAAAGCTCAGTTCCTTGAATGCCCCAAGGAATCTAAAGGACAGGTATAAAATTTATGAAGATCGTGACCAAGGACAGTATAGTGTCATAGAAGGATAAAGTCAAGGATACAGAATCAATGAGTGGATCAGGACTGAAGAAAAATAAATGCCAACGTTATCAAATTAGTGTTTTCTTAGATTCAAAACCACTCAGAATAATAGGAGTGCTTCCTGACTCACAAGTTCATTAAAGTTGAGGGTTTTGAGTGGTCAGAGAAAAGCCTACCTTAATTAGGACTTTTCTCTGTCCAGTGAGAAAACTCAATCAACTGAGTTGCTCTAGAGGCAGGAGGCCTGGGTTCAATCACCTTCATAGCTGGGTAAATCCCCCTCAATTTTTTTTCTCTCATAAAAGATCATCTCTTACTGGGAAAGGCAAAAGAAATACAGTAAAAAGGATCCTTAGTAGGAGACATGAAGTCAGTATTCAGTTGCTCTGAGTTCAAAGTTTAGGTCAAAGAAAGTCATATCTCAACAGAATAATTATTAGTACAACACTTGAGGTACTGCATATGTCTTTTTTTAAATCTTCAAACACCTACCTCAATTATTATTATTCTTATTTTATAAATTAGTAAGATAAGGCACCTTTCCAATGCCATTAAAAAAATACAAACTGACTGAGTTGGGAGCAGAATTCAGTCAAAAATACAAAACTTAGCCATCTATCCTAGCTAACTTTACAGATAATAATGATCTAGAGAAAGCTAGAAAAAAATAGCAGAAGAAAATTTTTCTGGTGTTTCTACATTCTAACTCATATTTTTCTGTCTTTCTTGCAATTTTCAGGATATATCTTATCAAGGACATGATTAAGTCCAAATGTTCCAGATTAAGTTTAATTTCTGAGATGTGTCCCTGGTTCATAAGTATCTCAATTCCAGCCAGAAATTACACAATCCCAGCTGTGATTACACTTTGCATTTGAAATGTGTTCTGGCTCTTTATAAAAGAAATCAAGGATCCTTCTCTGTGCATTAAGGAATCCATCCTGGAACTTCTCTTGGAGTCATACCCACTCAGTCTCAGAAAGTTGTATACCTTTCTTTGGTCTAATTTTCCTTATTAGGGCCTACTGTGTGCCAAGATTTCTCATTATGTACTTTCTCGTTTAATCCCCTTAGGCAGTGTTAAGAAATGCAAGAAAATGAAGCCACAGAGAAGTTAAAGAGTTTGTCTGTGATAAATCCATAATATTATTTATCGAAAAATACTGTCATAATCTATTAAATTGATTGTAACCCAACATTTGAAAAAAAAAGCTCAATTTATTTAAGTGGACTTAGTTGAGATTTGAAATTAGGTGTCATATTACCAGGAACTCTCATATTCCCCTGTATCACTGTCTTCATTAGTTCATACTTTTCCTCGTCTAGAATGCCCTTTACCTCCTAGGCCATCATGAAGACACTCTACTTATGTTATTCTTATGATTTTCTGTGATAGGGTTAACTTCATTCTTTCTTATGAAATTTCATGTGTATATGGTCCTTCCCATCAAGTTTTTTTTACCATGTTTGCTTCTAGTTTCTAGAGTTTGGTTTTTTTGCCCATAATAAACTTTTAAATCTGTGGATGACTCAGTCCTACTCAGTTCCTGTAACTCCAAGCATAGCTTTCACTAAGAGACTTCCATGTTAGATATTTGCTGAATAGTTCTGTGAAATTAATTACTACGCCCACACTATGTACTGAAGAGATGGTGTTGGTTGCATTGATGAGGTCATTGGAAAGTAAGTTATTCAGAGTTGATTGTTTCAATGTGGTATTATAATATATATTCAAGTAACACTCATTAGGTGGATAGTCCATGGGCAGATTTTTGAGATAGCATGTGATAATAGTTAGAGCTAATGTTACAGTGTAGCTTATGGTCCAGATTCTTTCAATCTCCCTCCATCCCTCTCTCTATATGCATACATATGTTAATATAAATATTATTGTCCCATAATTTTCAAGTGAAGAAACAGGTCCAGATGGAGAGGCTTAAAAGGTTAACAAAGCAAGATTAAGCCAAAGTCTGATGGAATTTACCACTGCCCCTCACTTTCAGGTTGTTGCCTCTGTGTGAATACATTGAGGTACAGGATGAAACACCACAAGGCCATGGCAAAAAATGCATGCAGAGCCTTTACTTAGACTTGTAGTATTCTAATAAAGGGGAATAGGGCTCTTGCGCATTACTATTGGCAATTTAGGGATGGATACAATGGTGCAGAGAACCTTTCCCTATTGAGGAACAGAAAATTATCGCAAAAGTGTTGAAGACACAAGCACAGATCCAGAAAACAAAATTTTAAAAATGAAGTTTTTGAGAATGAAAAAAAAATTGCAATATTCCACACTTGGGAGGCAGGAGAGTGGGGCTGTGTATACACTCTAGCTCAAGGCATTCCCTGGAGTTCCGCAGTGCACACCCCACAAGGCTTCATGCAGTGACTACAAAGATAAGTAGAAAGATGATTAATTCAGGGGAACTGTTTCAATTCCTTCCTCAGTCTCTGAGAATCCTCCATCACACCACTCATATCCTTCACAAGTTTCCTCCAGCTCCAATTTCATATAACTTCTCATAAACCTGTCTCACTCTCTTAAGCCCCATCTATGAAATCAAAAGGATCTTATCTGCTTCGGATTTGACTTGCCCCCCTGACGCAGGCTTCCAGGACATAACCTCTTCGCTCTTTCCCTTGGGCAGATTCATGACCTTCTCTGGAACTCAGGCCTTTTCTCTAAAATGGAGATAAAGAAAATTTATGGATCCTCTAGGATCTCCTGATGTGATTCCAGCCTGGATTAATGGAGAATTTGAATGTCTTTCAGATATGTGCATTTAATAAGTCCCATATGGATCTTGCTAAAATAATGTTGGTCTTGACTCAAAAGTGTGGAAAAGAGCCTGCGAGTCTGTGGATCTGGGAGCTCGCAGGTAATGCTTACACACCTGGCCCGCTGCCCCTCAGAGAAAGGACAAGATCTGCCTTCTTCTAAGCCTATGTTTCCCAAAGAGGGCCATGGATCTCCCCTAGGGGGAGCTGAAAGAACCAGTGTGCAATTGAGGGGTGCTTTCATTTTGTTCCATTAAAGATGGTAGTTTTTGGGACTGGAGTGATAGCACAGTGGGTAGGGCGTTTGCCTTGCACATGGCCGACATGGGTTCGATTCCCAGCACCCCATGTGGTCCCTAGAGCACCACCAGGGATAATAACTGAGAGCAGAGCCGGATGTAACCCCTGTGCATCGCCGGGTGTGACCCAAAACGCAAAAAATAAATAAGTAAATAAAAAATAAAGATGGTAGTTTTCCAGGGAGCAACAAGTAATATTATTTTTCTGTTTAATATTACTTTAATAAACATGGTGGAAAGCTAAATAAGTTTGTTGATCACTGGACTAGAATGTTTCAGCAGGCTCTGCACATGTTCTCCTTTTCTGTTACCAACCATCCTCAAAGTAAGCAGTGTGGCTCTTCTCCCTTTGTTTCTCTTCCAAAACCAGACGTCAGTTCCACTTCCACTTTCCTTTTCTCTTCTCAGTCATCGTTTTACAACCAGATATCAGAGGACAGAAGCTTCCTGTCCTCTTGATGCGTCCAGATGGTGAAAGTAACACAGTACATCTATACTCGCAAACCAGAACCCACTGCTGCAGTATCCACAACACAAAACAGCTCCTGCAGATTCCCTTCCACAATTGGGAACCCCAGTCATGTGGGGAAAAAGAAGAGTGTGCCCGCCCAGGAACTCTGAGACAGAACACAGAAACTGACAGTATTGTCAGAGTAACCACAGTGTGCTTTGACCCTCCTCAGGAAAATCAGAATCTAAACTCACAGTCCAGAAATCACCCCTTGCACCTGAAAAGTGTCTCCCTTGCTTCTACATAAGAGCTTTTGCCCTTTATCTGAAGTCAGGACTCAACATTTTCAGGTTGAAATCAAAGCTTTGGTGCTAATCAGTGAGAAAGGACAGTTTTTCTCAAACTGTATCCAAGAATGTTTTATAGGATGTTAACAGATGATAGTGAGAAGGGGAGTGGAGGACTTGAACATCATGTGAAATGATGACTTGAACAAAGTAAAATCCTTGTTTGCTTTTGTACTTAAATTTTCTAAAATTTCAGAATGTAAGGAAACATCATTAGTGTCTTATGAAAAGGATTTGATAGCATTGCTCATTTATTTTGACTAAGAACATATTGGGCTGGTGGTGAGGCAAGTCTCGAGACTGTGTTCCAAGAAACAAACTTGGGGACATAATAAAGTTTAATAAAATAAAATAGAACCTCACACTGAGAGAAAAATTTATTAGATACGTGTGGTAAAGCAGAACAAGTCCAGGTACAAAAGGAAATGGAGAGTTGAAATGAGAAAGCCTAGATGGGAAGTTGGATGATTATATCTCATTTCCTTTCCTCCCAGAGTAATATAACAACCCACATACACTGTAGGATAAACTACACATAGAAAGATTATTTTAGATATAATCTTCTTTGGTAACAAAGTACCATGATTAATAAACATCCACAAAGTGTAATTTTTATGTAATTTAAAAGACTAAGGCACTGCATCTTACCATTTTTGTTTGCTATTTCAAAAGTAATGAACAATTATTAAAAACTATTTAAAGGCAAGCTTCTATTGAGTTCATCGGATTATATATTTCTGTAAAAATACAAAGTGTTCTACTTCTTTTCCTAATGGCTTAGACTTCAAAGCATATGAAATAGTATTGACTGAAATTGAGGGATTACAAAGATCTCTAGACTTTGAACCCCTATGAACATTGCTGGAAAGTACTAATACATTCTTTCTTCAAAAAAAAATCCTCTTGCAGAGTATTTTAACAGTTTATAAAATATTTACAGGGAGAGTGGACACTAACATTGCTGAGTAGTCACTATGTCCCTGGCACATAGTAGTTTCTTATGTGTGTTACCTGTTTAGATTTCCTGAAGTAATTGTTAAAGACACAAAATGAGTTGCCTAAGATGCTACTATGGAAGAAACAAAGCAAGATCTTGGGATATCAAATGCCAGCATCAGCATCTCACAGGCTTAGGTAAGCCATCAGCACACATATGCACTACTTGCTATGCAGTCTCAATTTGAGCAAGAGAAAACTTATCTGAAATTTTCAAATCATAAAGGTCTGTGGCATGAGCAAAAAAAAAAAAAACTACAGCTGGAGTGATAGCACAGAGCGTAGGGTGTTTGCCTTGCTTGTGGCCAATCCAGATTCGATTCCCAGCATCCCATATGGTCCCTCTAATACCACCAGGAGTAATACCTGAGTGCATGAACCAGGAGTAACCCCTGTGCATCACCTGGTGTGACCCAAAAAGAAAAAAAAAAAGGTTTGTGGCATGGCCAGGCAACCAAGGTAGAGGCCTCTTTCAAAGAAACATTCCTGTTCCCTTTCCCACACCATCTCCCCCACCCTACCACCACCCCCCACCTCACATTCCAGGACACATACGAAGGACGAATTATTTAGAAGAGAAGTTGAGGATTGAGTGTTCATATATAAGGCAACCAATCAAATTGCAATGAAAAATTAACTTATGTGTGCCATCCGCTTGACTGTTAAGTCCAATGACAGCTGTCCTCTTAGCCCATCTCTCAGACCTGAGACAAATATATATATATATATATATCTTTAAGTGGCACACAAAGGTAAGCCTCACAGCAGACATGCTTTCAGTGCTTGCCTGTAGACTGACTGTTAATTCTCTGCACCTCACTTTGGGAGGCTTGTGGTGGGGTTGGGGAAAGGTGGGAGTGGTTGTGCTCCAGGGCCTGGCAGAGACCTCACCACAACCCAACTTACTGGTAAGAAGACCGGTGATCCCTGAAGAGTGCCAGTCCTATCCCAAATACGGTGAGCATCAACAGCTTTGCCATGGTCTTGACAAACCTACCGACCAGATAGACAGACGCAGCAATTGACCAGCAAGAGATCCAACCTGCCTGCTGCCTGAATCCTGTTAGAGCTGCCCTCCTATTGGCCTGCTTGGCTCCACCCTGCTGGGACTTCGGGCTCTTACCACTAGCCACTAGCAGGGGTGCAAGGATCACAAACAACCAACTCAAAGTTGATACCTGAGGCCAGAGTTTGAGAGTAACTAGAATTTTAAATAGTGAGGAGATGGGGGACTCCTCTTCAGAGAGCAAGAAGAGAGCAAGCAGGTTGAAGGAAATGGAGAACTGTGGGAAAGAAGAGTTAAGCTTTTGTGACTGTTGGCTTCATTTCAACAAAGTTCTAATCCTTGTGGTTTATAAGAGTTCTGTAACTTGATTACTGTGACTGGATGAGAGAAGGCACAGAAGAAAGAATGTTGTGTTAGAACTAAGGTAAAACTTTTCTCTCACCAGAATGAGAAGTGTGTATCACCTTCAGACATCTGGATTTTGATCTTCTCATTCTCTCAATAGCATTTATGACCTTTCAGCTCACAGACGTACATATATATCTCTGTTCTATTTACTCCACTTTTCAGTAAATGGCAGCACTGTAATCCAATTGCTCAAAACCCAAGCCTAGATCCCTTTATTTGGTTATTGTTTTCCCATTATACTGTCTGCTACCAATATGTCAGTCTCATGGTCTGTCTCTAGACTCATACAATCTCTTGAATACTCTCTCCCTAAACCTTATAACCATTCTCCTCACTGCATCTGGAATAATGCTTTCAAAATGTAAATCATGGCCCAGAGTGAGTGCAGGGATTCAGAAGCTTGCCCTGTATGTGACCAAAACCCTGTTTTGATACCTGGCATTATTTATGGTCCCCTGAGTACCATCAGGAATGACCCTCTGAGCACTAAACAAAAAGTTATTCTGGATTACAGCATGGATATGATCCAATGCCTCCTCCCATGCCTCCCCCCACCAAAACAAGGTATAAATCCTATCGTATCACTCCCCTGCTTAAAGTCCTCCCTCCCATAGCTTCTCATTTTACTTTCTTATCATGACCTAAGGATTAAAATTAAACCATGTTTCTCATATGGTCTAATTTCTTATCATGCCTTCAGATTCAGAATAATGTTCCAGCAACATTTGCTTTCTTATTGTTTTAAAAACATACCAAGTTTATTCACCTCACCACTCTACAATTCTTTGGCTGAAAAGATTTCCTCATCCCTACACTTGTTTTCTGACAGCTTCTTGTATTTCTTTATCATGTCATTCTAGTGAGCTAAAATGTTATTTCCAAAAGGCTTTTTCAATTACTTTCTGTAATAGCTTCCGTTTGCAATTTGCCCACCACTAATCACTAAGACTCCATAGTTGGTATGAGATCATCAGCACCAATTACAGTTGCCATTTGTTAGATTTCTGATGTATTTCTGTACTGATTGGCAAACAAGCACTCATGTTGTCAAATGTTTCTAGTAATAGCCTACAAAGCTGACAATCTGCCCTGAACTATATTCTATGCACTTTACCAAAATCCAGTAACTAAGGGTTTAGTGCCTAACATAGCAAGTATCTAGGTTTCTTCTCTAGCAATATTCAACTATTCAACTGTAACTAATTGAGAATGTGCTGGGCTGGATGTCAAGGACTCTGTCACTCTGCCTTCACAGCATTCTTCACAATGGGAAGTGATCTTGTTTACATGTTTCCTTGTATGCCACCTCCCGTCCCTCACTTTAATGTAGACCTGAGGAGAGCACCTTGACTAATCTGTCACCTACTTGCTCTTGAATTCCTAGGACAATTTCAGGCATAATATATGTACTCCAGAACCTTGTAAAAAAAAAAGAGGGGGCGGGGTTGGAGTGAGAGCACAGAGGGAAGGGTGTAAGCCTTGCACACAGCCGACCCGGGTTCGATTCCCAGCATCCTATAGGGTCCCCTGAACACCGCCAGGAGTGATTCCTGAGTACAGAGCCAGGAGTAACCCCAGAGCATTGCTGGGTGTGACCCAAAATGCAATAAATAAATAAATAAATAAATAAAAACTTGTAGAAGACTGGGGCTGGAGAGATAATAGTACAGCAGGTAGGACATTTCCCTTGCATGTGGCAGACCTGGGGTTTAATCCCCAGTATCCCATATGGTACCCTGAACTGATCAGGAGTGATCCTGAGTGTTAGGCTAGGACTAATCCCTGAGAACATTTGGGTGTGAATTAAAAACAAACAAAAATGAATTTGTAGAATAAATATATAGCAAAGCAGAGTGGGTAAAGGAGGCTGATAAAGCTATGAGCAAAAGAAAACAACCATAAGTTGCCACTACATTTTCCTTTAACAAACAGTTTTGAAAGTCATTCATTGTATAAGTGAAAAAAAATATGAATAGTCCCCCAATTTATTCTACTCTAGGGATATCTTGGAACAATTGTTCTTATTTTGAGTACCCAATCACTTTGAAACCCTGATGGAAAGAATGAAAATTTCTTTCTTTTTTTTTAATTGAATCATGGTGAGGTAGTGCATTGCAAAGTTGTTCATGATTGGGTTTCAGTCATACAATGTTCCAACACCCATCCCTCCACCAGTGTAGTATATCTACACAATGGAATACTACACAGTTATGAGGAATAATGAGGTCATGAAAGTTGCCTACAAATGGATGAACTTGGAGAGTATTATGCTGAGCAAAATAAGTCAGAAGGAGAATGCCCAAGAACAGATGACTGGTTAAAGAAACTTTGGTACATCTACACAATGGAGTACTATGTAGCGGTTAGAAAAGATGAAGTCATGAAATTTACATACAAGTGGTACAATATGGAAAGTATCATGCTAAGCGAAATGAGTCAGAAAGAGAGGGATAGACATAGAAAAATTGCATTCATCTGGGGGATATAAAGTAACAAAGTATGAGATTAATACCCAAGAATAGCTGAGATCAGCACCAGGAGGATTACTCCATAACTTAGAGGCCAGCCGGGTATCCTAGAGGAAAGGGCAGTTCAGATTGAGAAGGGAGCACCAAATAAAGGGTGTTTGGAGGATCCTCCCAGGAGGGGAGATGCATGTCGAAAGTAGACTATGGACTGAACATGTTTGCCACTCAATGCCTCTTTTGCAGACCACAACACCCAAAAGGAGAGAGAGAACACAGGGGATTACCCTGCCACAGAGACAGGGGGGATGGGGGGATGGGGGTGGGAGGGATATTATCCATGGTGGTGGAAAATGGACACTGGTGGAGGGATGGGTATCTGATCATTGTATAATTGAAACCAAAGCACAAAAAATTGTAAATCTACAACTTAAAAAAAAATAAAATAAAATAAAGGGGAAAAAATAAGTCAGAAGGAGAGGGACAGGTATAGAATTATTGCATTTATTGTGAGATATGAAAAAAACAGTATGAAGCTAATATCTAAATTAGACAAGAGGACTGGTCAATAGTTGGAAATTTCCACAAGGGTATAATTGATGGAGGGTAGTTAAGATAGAGGAAGGTCCCTTATGACAATATTAGTTGAAAATGATCACTCTGGACAAGAACTGAGAGTTGAAAGTAGGTAAAGGGATATTCAGGATAACCTTTCAGCATCTTTATTGAAAACCATAATGTTTAAAATAAGAGTGAGAATGAAAGAGTGAAATTTTTTATCAGGTAAAGAATAGTTACCAGTACAGAAACATATCATTAGCACATTGAATACAGCATGCCACAAAGAAAACCAGTGTTGAGTGAGTTAAGCAAGTTCCTTAACTTACCACAGAAGTTAAGAAGGTGAGTTCATTGCTTCTCTCTTGGATAAATATGAATCATGCTGAATGATTGTGTCAGGCTCCCTAGAGATAGAGACTGAGAAAATTTTGAAAGCATATGATTCATTGAAAGAGTGTTCATTAGGGAAATCTCTAGAAAAAACTAAGGTTTACAAGATGACAATAGGGAAAGGACAAAAATAATTAAATCTGCTCATGGTAGGTCACATATGATTGTGTTATTTTCTCTAATTATGTATGGTATGCATGTATATGTGTGTGTATGTGAGTGTGTGTGTGTGTGTGAGAGAGAGAGAGACAAAATGTGGCATAAATTTTTATGTACCATATGCTAAAATGACATTTAGCATGAGATAAGAGAAGATTGATACAGTGAAAGTGGAAAGGTAGAGCACCAGGTGTGTTTAGTAAGTCACTTTAAATTTTGTTCATGGAACAGATAGTCAATCAAAATAGATACTGGGATAGCTGGGGGTGGATATGGCAGCAGATAAAAGAAGGTCCCCAGCTTCACACTCTCTTTCTTCAAACTCTCTCTTCCCAGACCCATTCTCTCTGTTCCAAAGTACAGGCAGACTACAGAATCAGGTAGGGTTACCGTACCCAGTCAAATGACCGAGTACAGGCAAGCCCCATAGACCCAGGTAGAGATAGAATAGAGGAAGGACTCAAATGCCTAGGAAAGTTCAGATTCAGGCAGGGACTTGGCCTGAAACTAGAAAAGCTGGGACAGAACGACAGGAACTAATTGGGTACAGTTGAGCGACCCAGTGACAGGTACTGAGCATGGAGATCTCACCAACATAAACATAACTGTGTCCAGAGATAAAGGAAAGCTAGGGCAAGATGTCAGGAAACCACAGGATATAGTCCAAGAAAGGTCCACGGACACAAATTCAGACTAGGAAAGCATACATGGCATAGAGAGTGGTTTGGGGATGGGACCTGGCTAATAGATCGTGTGGGATGGGACTGGGACATATCCAGGATAGGACATCATACACAGGACAGAGTAGCACCATAGATAGGACAAGTGACATCATACATGGATAAAGAAAAGGCGTGAACATTTAGGGGGGACCCAGACCCATTGTTCAAATTGTGCAAAGAACTCTGAATCTTCTGAGTTTTGTATGCAATTTTTTCATGCAATTATCAAGAACCCATCCGTGTGGAAAATTCCACTTTCATGCTAACAGTCTGATTGTCTAACACCAGTGGACTTCTCCAGAATCTATTTATACACAGCTTTTATTCCAAAGATTTTACTTTACCC